GAAACACATTTTGATTAATCTATCAGTCATTCAACAGCCCCCTAGTCAACAATTGGGTATGCATGATATGCCAAATACAGCCATGAGAGTAAATACACAGTAAATAGATAAATACGGCATAAATAGGTTGTGAAAACAGACAACTCAGAGTTCTTTTTCATCAGGGGTGGGGGTGAAGTGGCAGAGAGTATCACTCCCATGATTCCCCGCCAGCATTGACGTCATCTTTTGTTCTCGTTTTGATAACGAAGAGCCCCCTGGCGGCAGAATTTGCATGCTGTGCGTTTAACATCGTTGTTAATGAGCATTCTGGGGATTTTGCAGCCAGCCTCAAGTGGACACTCGTTTTTTTTCCACTTCTCATTTGCTTCATTTTTCAACAGCTAAGTTTTCTGTTTGCCAAAGTACAAGTGATTTCTCCTCCTTAAAATCAAAATCTCACAGAGCAGCTACAAAATATAAATGTGCAGTCACGCAGTTTACAAATTGTCTGTTACACAACTCGTATGTTATGGAAGCTGAAGACTGTCTTGTTAATATTCTATTAGGCTGCAGTTTAAAGACCCTATGAGCAACCCCATTTTTCTACAATATTCATCATTGATCCCTCCGTTTAAATGAGTGAATTAAGTGGAACTTGGGGATTGGGAGGACATCAAAGAGAAAATTAACTTAGTCTTTCTCCAGTCCAATTTCTCTAACAAAGTCCAAGTTGAGCAGCACTGTTTGTTTAAAGTCCTGGGGGCATAATTGGACTCTCTCCCTCCTCCTGCTCTTCATCTCTCGGGCACAAACCAATCGAGCCCTGACAAGAAAGCTCCACGACAAGATGATTAAAAAGCAAACTCTGCTGTGTTTCCCCTTTTGGCAGATGCACTAATTTCGCTGTCCTTTCCACAGCCCATTAGAAGCCACCTATTTGGCAGACAGCAGGCAGTGAGAGTTTTGCCTTTGTATGCGAGGTGTGTGCGCGTCAGGTATAGGGCTACATTTATACGTCTAGGTAAGAGAGGATGTATCATTGCTTTGACACAATATTGTCCAGTATTGTTCTACTAAGCAAGGCAGTTTGTCAGAAGTGTTGATGCTTTGCCCGACATATTGGGGCTGAGAGGAAGTGTGTCAGAGCGATGGATGCTGAAAGGAGCGCATTAACCTTTTCCTGCTTGAACAATGCTTTTGCCTGATGCAAAAATTAAGTTACTTATTTTAGAAGTCAGACCCATCAGTGTAAGAGACTTCCTTTTCTTGAGAAAATTGATCAAGGAAAGCAGATGGCATTTAGAATATTCAACACTTAGGCGAGAAGCTCTGGCAATATGCAAAGTGAACAATCTTTCCAGACCACATTGACGAGACACATTTCCCATTAAAAATCCATTTCAGGTCTTTACAACTGCCACCAACGAGGAAGCAGCACGTTTAATACTCTGCACACTCTCTGCGACGCATGGCAAGAATGACAAATGAAGATCCCACTGCACCACTGCAATCAGGAAATCTCACTGAATATGTACCCAACACGAGAACTCATTACTCCCGTTTGATGCATCCAAAGTCCTCCATGTGACAGCTAGCTTTTCAGAATCCATACTTGTTCATTATATCAGAGATGTTATGATTAACAGAGATGAAGAAATTCAAAGAGGAAAATTCCTCTATTTTTTACAGTGTTTGTTTAAATCCACTGATCCAAAACAAAGCTGTTGTTTTCTATTATTCAAGGTATTGTCCAGATTTAATGAAGACACACACCTGTGGAATTTTAATCAAGTTTTTTTCCCCCACCAACCCGTCTCTCATCATCATTTCTTTTTGTGAATGCTTCAGTGTGAATTCAATTTCACACAAAAGCCAAACCTGTTTGAGAAATGTGTCTTTTTTTTGTGGGATGAATTTGACAGAACAGCGATTCAGGCGAGAAACTAGTGTGGCAGCTTCAAAAAAAATTAATATATAAAAAGCTGTGATCCAGTATAAAGTAATATCAGACTAGTGGCGCCAGAAAAGGCTGTGCCTCACAGACAGAATAAAGACTCTTTGCTATTTGCAGCCAGAGCCTATAGATGGAAGCTTTTCCCACAATGACAGACAAACCGATTACCTGCATGCAGACAACAGCCGGGCTCCAATGTGTGAAATGTCCACTCGAAAACACCTTTCTGCACATTTCTATAGACCTTTATACGTCATATTGTATGTGTCCTCTGTGTCAATTCTCCAAGAAAAACAATGATTGAGACACAATACTGCTGCTGTCAGAGAAAGCGGGACAGGAAGAAAGAAACTCGGCAGAACCAGGAGACTGGTATCAAGGTGACAAATCCTACACTACAACAATGAATATTATGCTAAATGCAACATTTGACAGGTAAATATGCTGAGGCTGAGGTTTTCATTTTGTTTTTACACACAGTTGAGTACAAACTAAGCCCAATACTTTCTGTAGTGGAGCGTCAGCAAACTTGCAAGAACCTGCAGACTTTCTATAAGTAGAATACAAAAACATTTCTTCATGAGGAGATACAAAGAAGTGTTGATTTTCACTTCCAGAGGGAGAATGAATGGATGTCTTGGGGGGGTCAAAATAAAGACAATGTTGGAACAATGCTGTTATACCTCAGTTTGGTCAAGTTTTACTAAAAAGGAAAATATCCATGTTTCTCTGTTTAAATGGTTAAGCTCACAATTATTCTGCCTTAAAATAAAAGACAAATGGTTAATTATAATAAATTATTTGAACATTTATATATATCCTAGTTTGAAAATGTCTGCTTTTAATTAATTTTTGTACCGAGCAGTGGGGCAACACCCACACACACACACACACACACACACACACACACGATTTTGTTGTTTTGATCATGAGAATTTAAGATTTGACGTCATCTGTGGATAAGGAAAGTCTTCATGGGCTTCTATGTTTCGTTGTATTAACACTGAGCTTTGTATTTCTCGGTTTATTCTTCAACCGTTAAAAAGAAACATCCCATCCTCAACATCATACATATCCTGCAGTTGTGTGATGACTCATACCTCACATACTGTGAGCATCTCTCCCTGCACTTCTCATGACTGAAGAAAGACTCCTCAAATAGCTGGAGAGGAAATGGGCTGAAGGGCAGAAGCTGGAGGCAGGAGAGGAATACTTCTGTACTGTTCTCCACATAAACTTGGGAGCAAAACTTTCTCACAACACTTGAAAGTATTTGAAGTCGATCTTCAGCATCTTGGTTGGAGCCTTAACTGCACTCTGCTAGTGTCACTCTTAACAGGAAATTAAAGCACCCATATGTAAAACTCTGAAATTGACTGCAGTCATTAAATATTCAGCACACGGCACATTCAGACCAGAGAGAGACACAAAGCAGACTACTGGAATAATAAAAACGTTTTATGCTTCTCGGCACTGGCTGCTAACAGAGACATAAAATCAGGGAAATTTCAAATGCACCCTAAAACGAGAGAGCAAAGAGAAAGTGTTCCCACTTAAATTCCACACTAGTCACTGCCGTCCTCTTTAGCCTGTGGTTCATAGATGCTTGTTTAAAAAAAGGACTCAACCAGAGCCAAACCTCTGGAGGATTTTGAGACCAAAACAGATTCCCAACAGATAATAATATAATAATAATAGTCGATCAGCAGTTATCCTGTGCTTCATATGCTGCACACAGTGTTTAGAGTATTGTAAACTTTAAAGTGGAAGGGGACAGGACAAACTATAGGATAACATCTCTTCTCAATCACCAAAAGCATTATTTTCTGGGTTAAATGTTCCTAATCCGATACTCAGTCCCCCTCAAACTCTGAAATGCTCGGCCCGTTCTCCAACAGTGGTCTCAGAGTAAACCCTTGTTCCAGTCACAGTCCAATAAATTATGAACGATCTCAAATTCTTCTATAGAAAAGCTCCCTCCCTTTGCACTTCTGAAACTAAACTAATAACCAATGTTTATTCTTTATCGTTACAACATTTTGACCTTCTGTGTATTTAATAATAATAATAAAACATTTTTGCTTTATTTATATAGCACCTTTTAAAAACACAGGTTTACAAAGTGCTTTGACAAACAGCAAGAACAAAGCAAACTAAACACAGAAAAACATTAACAACAGTAAGAATATAACAGATGCAAAATACCAAAAATAATTAAAAACAATTCAACAGAAAAGAACCAAAGTGCACGATACACAACCAGACATATATAACCCAACCATCATAAGAACCATCATAAGAACCCAGGAACACAAGAACCCAACAACATGAGCTGAGACCAAGAGGACCAAAGATTTAAAAAGATGTAAGAAACTAAGAGATAAAAGCAAATAAAAAGCAATGAGAAGGTAAGCGCGTATTTAAGGCCCAATCCTATTCGATTCCCCTCTATCCCTCCCCAGTTCGAGGTTTTTAACCCAATAAACCAAGCTTCCTCAGTTCAGATACAGACTCCAGAGAATAATCAAAGAAAGGTTCAAAGGAAAACGAAACCGATTGGTTTAAATGAACCCATGTTTTCAGAAATAATCATGTTACATGTTTGTTGTTTGTTGATGGGCGACAGTTTACTGTTGGTTTGGGTGAATTCTTGTTTCCTCATTTACCAGTTTGCTATGTTTTACACATTTTGTCATTGTTACTTGTCTTTTATATCCACATGCGTCGACCTCTGTTGTTTTGAAGTATTCTTATAAATGAATTTAATTGCCAGGTTGCACTTCTCCCCTTGTATTCAATGACCACTCAGGTTCGTCTCAGTATTCCTCTTTGTTTTCACTAAAAGGCCAGAAAGGTAAATTAACACCTCTGATGCACAAAAAGACATGGAAACATTAGGGGGAAACAAACTCACTGTTGACTCATGACTCTTAAAAAATGAGCCTAATCAACGAGAGGAGAAGCCAATCAGGCCAGTCAGAGAGTCAAAAGGCAGTACCTGTATTGACCTGAGCTAATAAAGAGTCATTCATAGTAACTGAAAACACATGAACAATACACCTACCGTGTGCCGTCGGCCTTCCAGCTCACTTTGTACGGATTCTTTTCCAGGAAACGAAGGTTTTGCCTGTCCATGGAGACGGGCTGAGCACCAGGAAACCCAGACCTGCAAAGCAATGAGCACACACATCTGTTTTATTTGTGCTTCTAACTGACATTTATTCATTGAATCAGCGACTCTTACCACACAGAGCTCTGGCATTCATCCATTTTATGCCTTCATTTCGCTGAAACATGTGCAGCAGTTTAGGCCTTACTCGGAAATAAATCACCTTACATTAAAGGGTCAGAGCCTAGAAGACCTGAATCTAAATTCAAAGTGATTAAAGAGGGCTCGACACGAGGAGGGACGAGTGGACACTGCTGGTTTTTACTCTCCATAATGTGGAAATTCTTGACGGTAGGTTTTAAACAGATAGGATGTCCGATCAGCCCTCCTTCTAAACACGATGAAAGTGAATGAAATTGTAAATTAAGCATGATCGTTAACGATGTTTATAATGTGGAATGATTCCTAAATCAAAAACCATTGGACTAGTGCAGTAAAACTTTGGGTCTTAAAAGAGAACAAAGAACAGAACATTGAACTGACTGAGCCGGCGTTTATTACTAGATAACTTAGATGCGATCATTTGGGCTGACCCCTATATTTAAAAATAGGAAGGTACATTTCCATCAGCTTGCGTGACATACTCAAACTGTGTGACGGTTCAGATGTAAGGGGGGGAAGAAGAGTATGCTGTTATTCAGCTCATGTGAAATCAATGATGAGGACAGAGAAGAGCCAGTAACAGGTCTCATTATTAATAGGACAGAGTCTCCAGGTAGAGCGGTGGGTCTGACAGCTGTGGGGAAAGCTACACTGTAAAAATGTTACAGATGTCTCATTTGTTTAAACCAAGTGTGGCAATATCGTCACACCATTTGTACAGAGATCACTTGGAAAGCAATTATCGGCTTTTTTGGTTGTTATCAGTGACAACGCCCTTTTTTTATGTTGACTAAAGCCTCAAATTTAAATCGTATTTTTACATCGACAACAGACGCATTGCAACCTCAACAGAACAGGTCTTCATGAATCCACTTAACATCCACTTCACCTCCTTCAGGACGGAGGTTACAGAGCACTGGAGGTGCAGGAGGGCTCGCCTTGGGAAAAGCCTGATCCCTGCTGTTACAGCTGCCCTGAACAAAAGGTCTCGCTGAACAGACCAGAGAGGGAACTTTTGATTACTGTTTGACATTGTTTGTTCTATACTCTGTGTTTTGTGTTTGTGGTTGTTCTTTGGTTGGTTTGGTCGGGGCTGTGAAAAAGGAATTTACCCATGAGGACAATAAAGTCTTTTTACTTCACTTTCACCTTACCTGCACTGAAAGCTAATGTCTTCTTTCCATCCTGGTAATTATATTGAACACCAAGCCTTATTAATACCCTGAATAGGGGTGGGGGTAACTCACTATAAGATACGACCAATGCGACCAATAAATACGATACGATACAATGTTAAAACATTACAAAACAAGGCCCACAATAACAATAAGAAAAGACATTGCAGCAAATAGTTGATTTGTTGCAAGACAGGCTTTAGAGACAACCAAATAATTAAACCGTTTGTATACCAATTCATCAACAACTTAAGTTTCAAAAGTGTAATAGACCCTACAATGACAATTAAAATGCATTGTGTGGTTTGTTGTTTCACAAAAAGTGCAACAATAAATTATGTTCTCAATAAACTTGAACATTTTACACAACCGTGCCTCTTATTACGATTATTAATAATAACACAATATTTTGTCAGCGAGAGTCCATACAGGAACCTGCAGCCGTAACAAGTTGAAACAAAAAAAAAAAAAAAAGCAGCGAGTAGAAATAGCATCATGGACCTTTCCTTCTGCTGTGACAAGACCTAGACGCGGAGCAGCAGCTGCATATTTCCTCCAGAAAAGAAAGAATCTATTCCTGACTCTGCTGCCTGTCACAGAGTGTCAGGGTCTCAAAATAAAAAAGGTGATTTTACAACAAGCGAGTCACGCCTAACACAGTGTGGTACACCCACACGTGTGTGAACACACAGAGACACACACACAGTCTCCCCGCCAGGGTATGAGGAGAGTGAAAGAACGGTTTCTTACCTGTCCCACTCGGCCATCTCCTGAACCCGTCTTTGGATTTCTCCTAGTTTGGGTTGTGTGGTGACCTGCGTGACGCCTTTCACTGTGATGCCTTCGAGAAATACTGCACCCTGTGAGGGAGGAGGAGAACAGAGGGCCAAACTTTAATTGAATTGAAAGAAAGAGTCATACCCTCCTACACATAAGCAAAAGGAAACACTGACATGCTGGTTGGACTTTCCAAGCAGCTACTCCTTTGATTTATGAATCCCTTCTGTATGTGCAGAGACAACAGGTAGAATAAACTTTAAATCCACCTTTCTTTCTCCCCTCTCTCTCTCTCTCTAAAGCCAGGTTTTTTTTTTTTTTTTTTACAGAAATCATCTCCTGTGTAACACGGATGACACATGTAACATTTCTTTTTAAAGTAAAAAGACACCTCACTTCACTTCCTAATTAAACCATGGCTCTCATTGCGTGACCTTTTCCTCTCTCATTCTTCTCCCAGCGAGTCCTGCGTCCTGGAGAACTATGATAATATATGGCATTCTGAAGAGACACAGATGTGATAATATAATGTGTTATTAGTTAAATGCATTGTGTATTAAATAGCTGCATTGAGAAGAGAAAGCATCGTTCTCAACTGGTGGGTCGTGAAGTGTCAACGAGTCTATGAAGCAAAAAAAAACATAATCTGGGATTTTTCATGTCTTCGTGCTGTCACATGTTTTCTACTGTCTGAGGTCCAGACTGCACCGTTTTTCATTAAACAAATCTCATCTGAGCGCTCGCACTAACCACCAGGCCACGCCCCCACTCCAACTGACACTTTAATAAACAAACTGGGTTCTCAAATGTTTTACATGAAATCCAATCTTTGTTTAAACAAGAGAACACAGGAGGTGTACACGCCTCCATTTTCAAACCTGACTGTCAACACTGGCCACATTACAGCTTAAATTGTACATTTAATTTGTACTCAAACACAAAGCTGTTACTTTTTTTTTTCTGCAGTTTACTCGTGGAACTAAAACTAAGTTCTGAACTAGAGACAGCGACTCCGAGGACTGCATCCCCTGCTGGCTCACTACGCTTCCTGTGTAATTAATCTGTAAATCAAAAACTTTGATAATGAAGTTTGTTAGTTTTTTTAAATGACATCTTACTGTGAATAAATAGTTTGGATTGGAGCAGAAACGATTAGTCAGTTAACAATTAGTCAGAAAAAAAGGAAATTAATTAGCAAGCATTGCATCAGCCAACATTCACATTTACAGCTCTATGGGGGGGGGGGGAGTGCTGTTTGGATGATCACTCCATCTTAAGCTCTGAGAAACAATATGATGAATTAATGGCAACTTGACAAACTGACTGTAACTACATAGAAACCCCCTCCCCAGAATAATGGTTACTGATTCAACCTAGTTTGTGATGTTGAAAAAAACAAAGCAGTGTTTCAAGATCGAAAGTCAAGAATAGTTTAAAGCAAGAAGGACGCCTGTTAATAAAATATCAGATTTGATTATTGAATTGAATGTAAAAGTCTACAGTTATTACTTATCTTTGCGTTCTACCTTTACTCTACTCACAAACTGTTTTCATGACGTTTCACTTCAACAAGCTAACAGGTCTTTCACACTTGCAGAAAACTCCTTAATAACTCCTGATATTTGCTGGAGGAGCTGTAGCCAAAAAAGAACAAACAAAAAAAATGTCAGACTTCACCCACAATTTCTCCTGCCAGCCCCCCTAGTAATTTTTCCACAGCAAGTCTGAGTGATCTGATCAACAGGTTCACAACTTCCTTCAGATTTATAGACCAATCAGGGAAGATGAAATCGTGAAATATCAATTTGATCAAATGAAATAGATTGTCGCCTGTAGCCCTAGACCTCTCCCTGAAATCACAGCGACGTCTAGACGTTCACATTTGTATTTGGATATACAGTAAGTATCATTTCTACAACTGTTTACACCTCAAATCTTTGTTTTGATTTAATTTCCACTGTTTCTGCACTTCCTGCTTGACTGTTGGTGGTACCATTGACACTCCGCTTCTTTCAGCCACTCCAAATGAGTCTGGATAAGAGCATCAGCTCAATGTAAACAAAAACCTAATTATGTGCAACTGGAGCTGATCCGAGGCATCCCATTTCACTGAACTGAACTGTTGAGAGCTTTACAAAAAGACAGGAAGGCAGCTTTTATCTCATCTAATTTATACCTCTGCTGGGAAGTGTGAAGAGACAGAACGTGTCGTGTTGTCTGAATTCAAACATCAAATGAACTGGGTGATCGTACAGCTGAGCACAGAAGTCTCATCCTTTAAGGGAAGACTTTCTAATAGAGCCAGCATCCTCACTGCAAGAGATCTGTGCCCTGCAGGGAGATTCATTCCTCATTTCTTTTTTTTTCTTTTTTTTTTTTCTTATGACTCGGTTTCCTGCAGCTTCCAGGAAATCTCACCAGTTTTAGTTTCTCTTTCTTCCGTTTGCCGGGCGCCGATCCAGAGGAGCTGGGGCCCGACTCCTGGCCGACAGCGTTACCGTCATCGTCCACTTCGCCGCTGTCCTCGTCGTCGAAGCACCACTCTGGGAGCGCGGGAGCAGGGGGTGCGTCCTCTTCGTCACCATAACGACGGAAAAGCTCTTTGAGGTAGTCTCCCTTATAGATCCCGGGGGATCGAGCCTGGCTGAAAGCTGCTACAGCTGCCTCCACGCTGATAAGAGACAGAAAAGCACAGACATAGAGCTGCTTTTAAAAAGCTTTACTTTCATATTGCACGGATCTTTGGTATCTTATTTTATAAGCTCTGTCTTTAATACATTTTTCATTTCATCTGTGAAACAAACAACAACAACTTCTGGATTTTCAAACAACTGAGCTTTCTCCAGCAAACATTTTGAATATTTAAGGATTTTTTACAGATACACTGATCCACTTTTTTACAGTTCCAATCCGATGTTGATAAACTTGATACTGACATTTATGTTCAGAAATAATTTGGATGTTGTTGTTAGCATTATGTGAAAGGCTACACAAAGCTGTAGTAAACATGGTACTGCATTTCTTCTTAAAAGAGCAAAAACATATGAAATAAATAAAAATGCACAAAATTTAAATGTGCTGTTTTGTGCTGGTTTCACATACAAACAGGAGGCAGCAACAACTGTCAGGTTTTCAAAATAAATCTTTTGACCGTATAAGAAGGAGCTGACGTCTTCAAAGCGTCACAAGTTGCAAGTTGAGAATGTTCAAAGTGCCTGACAATCTCTCTTGATCTGCACTGTCAGTCCGATATGCAATATGTAAATTACATCAAAATCGGACCTGATTCTGATATTAGATCGGATCTGTCCCATCTCAACTTAAAACATCCAAGTATTTCCACATTTTCTTCACAAATCTCTCTGTGTTGATGATTTGATATTCTCATGCAGCACATGAAGCTGGACTGGAGGGCTGTAAACGCTCTCAGAATATTCATTAGACAGGAAGTGTTGGGTGGAGGGAGGGGTTTTTATCCCCCCTCCCTTCATGTCTGCAGCTTCCAGAGATTCTGCTCACTCAGACTGCTGCTCCACCTCTGACTAAAGACTCATCCTCACCCTCCTCTGATCAGCGCGTGTTAATTATTTAGCCCCTTTCTGACGTCGGTTGATTGGCTCGGTCACTTGCAAACAAGGTTTCTTTTGTGAAGCCTGAGCTGATTGGAGACGACTTATGTAACATGTTACATACAGACACTATCAGGCAAAGCTGAGATTATCGGCTGCAAGGTGATTTATATCCAGAGGAAATAAAAGATGCAAGGAAAGAGGACAAGGGGCTCGTTTTTAAACGGCCTTACCTCCAGTCCATCTTCTCCACCAGGTACGCACACATCAGGAAACCCGTCCGGTTGAAGCCATGCGTGCAGTGGACACCTTCAGGGGGGGAAAGGCAGCACACAACTCCCATTTAAATTAGCATTTATATTACATTACAGTCATGTAGTATTCACTCTTTGAGGTCCAACAGTTACATATGGTATGTAAGTCATAACAGCAATTTATTTTATTTCTTAATGTGTTTATGTTCAGAGCCTGCACGATCAATGTAACGAAGCACAACATGATCGCCCTGTGGGTGTAGTAAGATCTCATCCGATGTGTTTCCCTTTTGACAGAGATAACATCGCTGCTCTTTGAGATGCACTGAGGCTGGGTCCATGCTTTGAGCGAGGGCATCATATCAAAATTTCAAATCCCTCTTTTCTCAGGGGGGGGTGAGTCCTGCTTTTATACACAGGCTGAGATGAGCTGTTGCACAGATACAGAAGAGACCCAGAGATGGAGGAGACGTACAGAGAAGCAGAGTGAAGGGAGGGTGCAGTAATAGGAATAACTGAACTATCATAATCTTTTTTTTTTAAGAGAAATAAACTTGCTGTGATCATTTCCTCCCTGGAGGCTCAGAAAAGTGCCTGAACTCTGAATCATGTTTGTTCTCCATTACAAGAAGAGCTCCAGCTCTGCAACATAGTCCCCTCCTTTTGTAGTTAAAAGTAATATTCCTGCAGACAAGCATCCTTCAGAAGGTGCACCGCAGGGTTCAAACAACACCAAATCTGACTCTCATATTTCCAACTGCAAAGGAAGCCTGCCTGGCAACGACAACACCAAGCGTCTAATTTGGACATGCGTACCCACATGGACAATAAAGCCCAATCACCAGCTGGCTAAAGACAGGAAATTACTGAAATGACATTCACACTTTCTGATTTGATGTTGGGAGGAACATTTTGATGAAGATGCCAGGCAGCAGTCAGGAGGAGAGACAAGACCTCGACGTGATGCGAGAGGCGAGAGTGAGGTCTATGAGAGCGCCCTGCTGGCACCAGTGTGAAAGTACAATACAAATTCAAAAGCCACAGACTAGTAGACTGATAGAAAGGTATGTTGTAGTTGACGTGCTTCATATGAACTGTTGAGTCTGTTGCCTTCGAAGATCTAACCGGTAAAATACCTAATGTATTTTCAACTCAGTGCAAACAGCCCACACACAGACTTCTACACGGTGTTCATCTTAAGTCATATTTATTCAGCCCGTGTTTGAACTTATGTCCTTTCACCTATAATCACCTACACAGTGTTCAGAGGGAGAGCGTGTTGTTTCAAACTCCCACATTGACAGGATCAGGACAAAACTTTTTGAGGAATAATAACCATGCACTTCTGAAAACAGGCAAATGCTCTCGATATCTTTACCTGAAGGTAAGTGAGCAAACCTTGGGGAAAGCCATTTAAGCTCCAGGTGCTACAAAAGAGCTGCTCTATGACCATCAGCAGAGGACTGGTTGTCGTGGAAACCGACCTGTTGCTTAAGCGTGGAATCTGAATATAGAACATGACGACTGAAAAACTACAAATGTGTATTATTAACCCAGCTTTCATTTGCAGCCGGTGAATTTTGGAGCAATGCTGCTCTCTGCTGGACACTCGTGATATTGCTACTAATTGATCTAAAACAATGCTGCACTTGATGTTCAAACATTGCACAAAAGAATTACGTTCCAAGTTTATTTAACTTAAGGTCCAAGTATTTGTTTTTTGTAAAGAGTTTTCCATGTTATATAAGGAGCCTTCTAACAGGGAAATTACCTTTTGTCTGTATTACACATCACTACCACAGTACATTTATAAATGTATTATGATGCAGGGTTTCCACTAACATTCATTTGGGGTGGTGACCCTCCACCCAAATGCAGTCCCCCACCACTCCAAGAGGAGTGCCGTAAGCCATAACGGAGATGTGTCAGTCAACGCCGGCTGTTGTTGTTACAGCCTCTGATATTCTACTTTGTAAAATCTTAATATTCTTCTGTGAACATAACACTTCATACAAGTCAAGACACATTTGTAAAAGGGCTCACAGAGCAAAGCAGAGGGGCTTCTCTGGTTCCAAATGTTTCCTGTTTGATGATAAACTACATGAAAGTCTAATGCAATCCTTTTATTCATCTAAGAAATACTGGGTTTGGTCACTGAATAACTCCTCTTAACTTCCACTTCACTGAGTGCTGCTATAGCTTAACTGATGAATCTGCTTCCACTTGTTAAGTTTGAAAAAAAACAGAAAAAAGCTTCGAGGAAATGAGTCAACTTCTGCTTTCATTTCTGACAGCTTGAATCCTCAAAATCTTTGTGGTGCAGCATTACACTTTCATTCATTCGTTTTCATAGCAGGAGAAACAGATCATTTTACAAACATTCAAAACATACAGTCAAAGATGAAAAAGAGAAAAGTCAAAAAAGATAAAGGGGGCAAGTATGTCACAATGGGCAATCATGTTTTTTGTTTCCTCTTGCTAAATTAAGCTTTGACAACTTTACACATCGTAGCAGCTGAAATAGCAACACTTCTCACCCCTCCCAACTTAAGATAACCAAAGCCTCCAATTCAAAAACTGTTCTGACTATGAACTCTGTGACAGGACCTTCTGATGCGACTGTAAAAACGAAGGAGAAAGGGTAACCTGAAAAATTTACGTTAGAGCTGTGTTTTTCTTACCTATTAATTCTGTGGGATTCTTCTCGATGAAGTGTTCACAGAGCCGGATGAACATTGTCGTCGTCTCTTTTGAAGGGCATTCCCCGTGGCTGAAACCAACGCAAAACATCCGACTCAGTACACTGCCACCAAATAAACAACAACTGGTGTGTAGTTTGACTCATGACTAAGAGTTAGCTCCTACCCTTTACACTGAAGCTTCACATATTTCACGCCGTCTTTTTCGATGTCGTTGCGGTCATAAAAGCGAGTAGTGTTCGTCAGATCAACAAGTAAACCCATTTTCACCTGAAGAGAGAAAACAATAAATAAAAAAAGAAGACGAGATGAGACATTGTTGCTGTTTTCATTTTTAAATGTTACTCAAAGCATATCTTCACAGTTACTTACTTTGAGACTTTTTAAATAGTTGGACAGCATACTCGGGTGAAACCTGTTCTCCTCTGCTACTTGGTCATCATATCTGGGACCCAACATCGTTTTCATGGGCAAGAATTTACCTGGAGGGGAAAGACGGGAATCTTGAGTTGAAAAGATCCAAGTATTGTCTTGAATAATATATATTTTTTTTAATTTGACATACTTCATTAATCCCTGAGGGGCAATTCTGGTATTACACTCTGATATTGCTTCTCACACACTACACACTGTTACACAGGGAGTACACCAGAGCAGTTGGGGGTTTGGCGGTGCTTGCTGGGTGTAATAGAAGTGACCTGGAACCTCTCCAGCTACCAGACCAACTTCCATATTATGGTCCACACCGGGACTTGAACCAGCAACCCTCTGGTTTGCGGACGGAGCTACTGCCAGCCAAGAATACAACTCTATTGTTTCAATTTTTAATACTGAATAGTGCAAAGTCCAATCTAATATTCTCTAAGATGTTGTCAACAATTTACTGTACATAACTTAACCGCACATAAAGTCACTACAAAATCATATCAAATCATACAATTCTAGCTTGAAACAACGCATCAATAGCATTTATTTTGGCATGTATAGATGAATAAATATAAAAACTCAACAGTAAACATGTACTGACAGCTAGTTACAGTATGTGACAGGTTTAAATTAATATTTGTAAATGTCACCAGCTATGCCTTAAAATCGAAATTGACTGGTGTTCAGCAGTGATTGAAATAAAAAGGGAAGTGGAGATGGGTCGTACAGTGGAATATTAGGGCAATTCAAAAGTGAAAAAAAAGGATTTCAAGATTAAAATCATAAATATACAAGAATACAGTCGTACATTTATGAGATACTATTCATAATGAACAAGGATAAAGTTGCTGTTTTACATGTGTTATTTTGAAGGGTAAAAGAAGAGCAGCCAATCACCAGCGCTAAAATGAGAAGCATGGAGTATCTGGTGACGCCTACTTTAGTATGGGTTTCACAAATAAGGGGTACTGGCACCTCAGCAACACAAAGTCATAAGTATCAGGACTCAGAGAAGATTGTGCAAAGAAGCTGACACATAGCCATGATCTCAATGTCAGCTCTATCTCATGGGTCAAAAGATTTGTAAACAGTTTGAATAGAATAGAATAGAATTACTTTATTGATCCCAAACTGGGAAATTGTGGCGTTACAGCAGCAGGTTATCCAAACACACAGTATGAGTAAAAAACACAAAGTTAGCAAATCTAAACACAATATAATATTAAATACAAAGTAAATAAGCACTAAAAATATCAAAAATAAGAATGTGAATATATACAACCAGGATTTAACTAAGCATTACTAGTCTTAAATATGAAAGATTAAATGTAAATGTGCAAGAACAGAGTTGTAAATGGACAGTATTGACATAAGTTAAAGTGCATGAGTGTAGACATATTGTGAGCAGAAACTATTCAATATAAGGGCGAGTAGACAGATAAATGAAGTGAACATGTGTGCAGGGATCATTTGTAAACATGTGCAGAACAGATTACAATAAAGGAGAGACAGATATTATCACGGTGACAGTTCTCTGCTCTGCTTGAACATGTTCAATGTCGAAATCTTCGATATGTTTTCCTTCTCTGTGGCCCAATAACTGCGTCATAGAGTAAAACCATGCTGTGTTACAAGAGCCTTCACAGGGAGCACTATGCAGCCTGAAGCTATGGAGCTGGTTTGTTTTGACACGTGATGCTTCCACTGCGACGCTAGCCAGCTGGGTAACAACTCAACCCTTTTCTAAATGGACATAATGAATGTAACATGAACCCCAAGCTTAACTTTTGAAGAAAAAAAAAATATATATATATCAGCATTTGACATTGTCAGCAAAAAAAAAACCCTGAACTTCTGCAACAAGTGCCGAGTTAGGTAAACAACGACGTCATACCAAACCCCGTTTAAAAAAAAAAAAAAAAATAGTGCAGACTTGTTTTGCTACAATTGGCAAATTTAAAATGTGTCTGAGCATCTCAGGTTAGTGAAGTGTTGTCCTGTGAGCTCGGCATGTCAGTACAAATCAGTGTTGGCTTCGTTTGAATGAATCGACCTAAATGTTGACAGCAAAGCTCCCTGACGACACGTTGTTGTGATGGAGTCTGACAACATTTGTTTGACCCTAAAATGAAGAATAATGTTGTTGTTTTTCTTTTTTAGGTATTTACGATTGGGGGGAATTGAACAGCGGATATCTGCGAATGTCCTACCAGCTTATTTTTACCACGACTGTTGTGTTGCACCCATTCACGCACTGAAGCTACGAGCAACAGCGTTCCGTACATAAACAAGTTGAAACCACGTTTCTGTAATAACTTGTGATTTATTTCCTCACCTGCCACAGGTTGCCCTCTCCTGGGACAATTCCGCCACCGCGGAGGGGGTCCGGTGTGTGACATCTTTCGGGACAGGGTTTTGTTTTTTTTTCCCAGTGAGCTCCTGCTAGCCTGAGGAGTGAAGGCTCCGTCCGTCCTTCAGGGATTCCCGGGTCGTCTTTCACGCGAGCACCGCGGCTCTGAGGCCCTTTAGCCCCTAATTCAGGTGAACTGTCCAGACATTTCAAGCCCGGTTAACATTCTGACGCGCCGGCGGGCTTTTAAGCGACACGGGTAATTACGAGTATCAGAAATAAATCAGCATCCCGAAAATGACGTTATAAATACGGACTGTTCTTGTTAAATCCGGATTATTAGCAATTAGCCAGCATTACCTCAATTCAAGTAACCAAACGTGCTAGCCAGATATGGCTAAACTAGCTAGCCTTCTTCTTCTGATTGTTATTATGTGTAGTTTAGATGACACCGGGCGTCACACCGCCGCCTTTAGGTGTAAGTGAGACAGGACATACAGTTTTACAGCACAGAAGGCTACTAGTTGTACGGAAGAGGATTAGGGCCACACGTAAAAAAAAAAAAATAGAATTCTGACTTTATTCTCAGAATTCTGAGTATAAAGTCAGAATTCTGTGAATAAGTCAGAATTCTGTGAATAAGTCAGAATTCTGAGTTTAAAGTCAGAATTCTGAGACTAAAGTCAGAATTCTGAGTTTAAAGTCAGAATTCTGAGTTTAAAGTCAGAATTATGAGAATAAAGTCAGAATTCTGAATTTAAAGTCAGAATTCCGTGAATAAGTCAGAATTCTGTGTTTAAAGTCAGAATTATGAGAATAAAGTCAGAATTATGAGAATAAAGTCAGAACTCTATTTTTTTTATGTGTGGCCCTAATCCTCTTCAATATAGTTGTGTTACAACAGAAACACTAAAAATGTTTTGAATGTCAGGACCTTCAGGTTACAATTTTAACTTAACCACTGAAAAAGGAACTTGTTAAAATTGAAACTAATTAAAAAACAGCTAAAAGGAACGGTAAAACGTGAAATATTTGACGTCAGGATATCAATTTTGACTAAAACAAATGAATGCATACATTTCCGACCTTAATTAATCAAGATTAACTAGTTAATGCTGACAGCCCTAGTTACAACCATGACAACAGACATTTTATTCACAATGAAACCATTGAGGATACCAAAAATGTATAGAAAATAACCTCTCATGAGATAGACAGACTTTTGTACAGAATAACGAATAAGAAGCAGAGGTGCTCCAGAATCAGAATCAGATTTATTGGCCAGGTATGCTTACACACACACAAGGAATTTAACTTCGGTGAACTGTGCTCTCATATGTACAGGTACAACATTAAATATCAACAATAAACATAATAAGAAAAGACTAATATTTACATGACTAAATATGAAACAGTGCAGTGGTGAATAGTGCAAAGTAAAAAATACTCCAGATGAAGATTTACTTTATTGATCTGATTTATTGATTTATTGAAATTTCAGTTTTTACACTCTGTAGTCATGAACACACACACATAGGCTGAAGTATATACAGACATGCACACAAACAGGATCCTATGAACATGCACTAAGGGAGAGATGTCAGAGTGACGGAGCGGCCCACAGCGGGCACTCCTGAGCTGATGGTGGGGAGGGGGTTTGGTGCCTTGCTCAAGGGCACCTCGGCAGTGCTCAGGAGGTGATCTGGCATTCTCCAGCTACCAGACCAACTTCCATGCTTGGTCTGCACTGGGACTTGAACCGGTTCCTTGGGTCTGGTTCCCAACCCAAGCCCCTACAGACTGAGCTACTGCCGCCGTATGAAGGTACTTACGATTTAGGGGTTTGGGTGTTGCTCAAGTATTATCATTCATATTAATTGGGATTAAAGGAAGCTTTAAAGACTGGACATGAATTAATCAAATCTGTGGGGGATGATGATGCTGTTCAAACTAAATCTTCTGTACAAAAAACTTTGGAATAAAAACTAAAGTCAGATTTAACAACAAATATGTTAAAAAACAAACAAATGCAACAAACAAAAAATTAAATGCTAAATCCTTTGAAGATGTGTAAACAGCTTATTAAGGGCAAGTTTCTGAATCTATTGGTGTGTACAAAAAGACAAAACTATCTCAGGCATTATTAAATTAAATTCAGAACAATAAATGCTACACTATTAGTTGAGAACAAATCTATGTGATACATGTCTTTTCTATATTTTGAGAAGTAAACTGCAATGAGTAACAGCTTCCTTGTGTCACACAAGCAGGTTTATACAGTAAGAGGTGGACAAGATGAGAATCTTATCATAATAAATAACATACCATAATACATATAACAGCGACTGCAACACTCACTGATTTGCAGAGTAAACATAAATCCTCAGTCTGCTATCCCTGCACACATAGCATATATTTGATACAATGGCGCCTGTAAATGTACATTTTTGTTTTTGGCGTTCATTGCTTAAACTTTTTCAGCCAATTTTAATTATGAGTTCTGAATTAATATTTTTATTGTATTATTGAGTTTCAAGTGTTGCTTGGGTGATATATGGTTATCTATCTGCATCTCTGCAAAGACTCAAGTTCGCATCATAGAGCAGCTTTTTACGCTGTTGTTGTGTTTTTAAAGGCAGGGTTGCTCATTTTCTCCAGATACACTTTTAAAGATTTTGGTTGAAATCGTCTTTCGGTCCTGACAGAAATGAATAACTCCTGTGCTCTGAAAAAGGAACGAAGAAAATCCATCATCCTTAGCAGTTGTAAGCAGGTAAAAAACTTAGACCAATGTCTGCCACGAGGTAGCAATTTAATGAACCAATCACGCCTCCCTGTCTCCTTGCTCGTTCTCTACCCCCTTGTATGCACTAACCAACAATCAGAGTGCATGTAAGTGAGGGGGCGTTGCTTTTGAGGGAGCACAGAGGGGAGGGGGAGGGTGCAGACGGAGCACTGAGGGAATGCTGCTTTCAAAATCATTCTAGTTTTCGAAAATCACCAACCCTGGCTTTAACTGTTTTCATACATAGTATTACATTTTTATTTAAATTGTGCTGTGTTCACTTTTTGTTTGCAATCTTTGCTCTTTGCTGCTGTAACAATGTAAATTTCCCCATTGTGGGATAAATAAAGGATTATCTTATCTTATCTTACATGTTTGTAACACTAAATGATAGCGAATAAACATACTTAATTAAAAAAAAACATTTCACTACACTACAAAAGCCTGAAGATGCAACACTTGCTAATGGAAGTCTTTTGCCGGTTTAAATCTGCGTGGTTTATCCATGTCTTATGTTACCGTTTCTGTCGATTGTCCGTTGTCTTGCTCAAACATCTCCAAAGTGACATAAACAGTCGCAGACGTCGTCTTGTCTTCCTGTTCCAGTGCAGCGCGCTTACTTTGTTTACTGGTCCGCTGGGCAGGAGCTTCCTTCGAGCTCTGACTTCGATACGGGCTGGACTGGTTGCGCTCTGAGAGAAGCAGCGCTGTGGATTCTTCAGGAGACGATGGATGTAGCATGTCTTCAGATTCACGTGGGTCTTTGTTCTGTAAGTCTGGTGCCGGAACTACATCTGGGACTGTGTATTCCTCCGTCTGGTCCCTGACTATGTTACTTTTACAGCCTGTAGGTAGTGAAGGTGTGGTCATTCCCTCAAGTTCTTCTGGGTAAACTATATCAAAGGGGCTTTCGTGTGGTTTATTGACTCGCTCAACAGGGCATGTTCCCTATGGACAAACACACACACACACACACACACACACACAAAGAGAGAGTGAACACAAAGACAAAGGGTGTCACCTTATAAAAAACAATAATACACTAGATTATTCAGGAAGTAAAAGCTTTAATACAAATTTAGGACAATGTAAGTAGGACCCCTTAAATTCCCAGGGCTGAAAAGGAATGTATGCCCTTGCTGCAAAGGATCAAAAATAAAGTAAACTATTGCATCTTTTCAAGACCAGAGTAATCCAGCAGACACCAGGATTGTTCAGGTAGACTTTATAGTTGAACGCAGATAAAACATTGGAGCTAACAATGCGTTTCGGAGAGCGAACCTGAGGAAGCCACTAACACTTTGTTAGCTCCAATGTTTTATATGCGTTCAACTTTAAAGTCTATCTGAACCATCCTGGTGTGCGCTGGATTAGCTATAACCCGGATGAGTAGCACGGCTGTGCAAAGGGCAACCATCAATCCTTAGACTTTTGCACCTCTGGATGCTTTAAAGCAAGCTAACAATGCAAAGAACAATTTTAAAACAATACATTCAAAGTGTGATGACTTTCAGGCCAACCTGACTTGAACACCTGGAAGTGCATGGGAGGTTTTCAAATTGAAACAAATCACTTCAGAACTTTATGTTCATGAATACATTTAGAACAATTACTCTTTTTTGGGGGGGGTCATGTGTACGTACCACTGCAACACATTTATTTCAACACTTTTGCAAATTGAAACTAAATAAAAACAGCTAAAATGTCAACACTTTCACTTGAGTAAAGCAATATTTATTTATTTCTCTTCCGTGCCCTACAATGATCTTGAATTAAAACATGTCACTCCATCAGCCACTTGAGTTCACCTCTTGATGATTTTCTGGTGACCACAACGCCACAGAACTGAATCCAGGGTTTGGTACCGGCTTCTCCTTGAACTTCTTCCACCTAAAAGGCAAATTATTTACATCATAAGGGCACATTTTTTAGAATAATTTGTGTGGGGGAAAAAAAGAAAGAACTGTACAAGCACGATATCATCAAAGTTGACATGATTATCTTTGATGCAATGAAAGATTAAATACTCACTGAACTGCGCAGCATAATCCAAGCGACAACACCAGAAGCACAGCGATGCTTCCACACACCAGGAGAGCCGTGGTGAGCCTCGGGTCTGTTGAGGAATCAATGATGTTGCTTTAGATTGCCTAACAGAAATTACTCGAGTGTAAAATACATGACGTACAAGCATCGAATTACTGCAAACATCTCACTTATTGGAACGGTATGAAAAGAAAGAATGTTTTGAGGTCAACTTGCGGTGACGAAACACTTCAGGAGCATTTTGTAACCACGTCTGGATAATTGAAGATATTGTTCTGGTGAGTAATCATGAGTGTTGGGATCTAATTCATCTTGTTATTATTGTGGATGGATGCACAGATTGATGATTGTGAATGGTGGATGATGGTATTGCAGCTGTGAATCTCTGCCGACTTCACATTCCACCTGACATGCCAAAGCATGCACACAGCACAACTGGTGCGTCTCTCTTAATGATGGCAAACTGGGGGCGCTGGATAGTCTCGCGGTTATGTCGCACGCCCCCATATACAGAGGCTGTAGTCCTCGTCGCAGCGGCCGTGAGTTTTCGAATGTGACCTCGTCCCTATGCTGCATGTCATTCCCTAACCCCTCCTCCTAACGCTTCCTGACTCTCTTCAGCTGTCCTACCTAATTAAGGCAAAAATATCCACCCCACCCCCCAAAAAAAAGTGGGGCAGCAGACACAATAACCACAGGGACAACATGGATAGGGTAACACCTCTGACTCGAGGCTCATCTAGAGGTGTTAGCATTGTTAGCTAACCAAACTCTGCTACTGAAGGTGGAAATATTTGCCTGCCGGGAACTTTGATCTCGTCATGGCAACCATAACTCTATGAAAACTTGACTTTTAAACCTGCACCCTGTCACTAGTCAGGCAAACTGTCCAGACTCTTATAGAGATTGCTTTAGCATTACCAGGCCTTGAAAGTTGGTTAAAATATGTCTTACATATACATGAAGCCTACTCACCAAATCTCTTGGTCATAAACAGCCACTCACTGCTTTGGGTTGTCCCAGTAAGAGCTGTGGCCTGGATGTAGACGTGGTATTGAGTGTCCGGAGTCAGATCTTTCAATAAGATGAACTGCTTTGTTCTATCCACAGAGACATCTAGAGGAAGAGCAGGACAGTCATGTCATCCAAAGAAGAGGACGTGAGTATCTTCAATAGATTTGCAAATATTAAGCCAGTCTGAGGTGTACTTACTGAGCTGCGGTCCTTTCTGTGTGTTGTAGAAGACGGTGTATCTGACAACAACCCCGCTGCAAGCTTCCTGTGACTTCACATCCCAGCTCACAAAAGCACTTTTGTCATAAGCCTGAACATCGATGATGGTGACATTCCCTGTATCTGTAGGGATCATGTTTTCAAAATCAGACTGGGAAAACTTTAAATAGCTTCTATAAACCCGAAAAATCACTGAGATACCAACAGTCAGTCATTGGTTAAAAAGTCTCCCTTGAACTTTTTAGCCATGGAAAAACTGACTTACACCACAAGGGGGAAAATACAGAGTTGTATTAGTATATGGGGACAATACAATTACCTGTGTGCCTTGGTTATGTATGTGTATGTGTGTGTGTGTACCTGTTGTATTTTATCTTCTTGAAAAAGCATAATAAACATAATTGTGAAGAGAAAAAAAGTGTTTTATTTACCTCCGACTCTGGAGCAGATCTGAAGAGCTTGTGTGCCATGACCTGTCTTGCCATCAAAGAGGGGAGTTACAGTTATGTTGTATGGCGTCTTATCCAGCAGGTCTGCAGCAAAGGGAAGATTATGATTAAAAACTCCTGCCGTCGAGTTTGATTGTTAAAACACATTAAAGCTAAATATGAATGAATTAATGAAGGAATTAATCCTTATTTCTGTGTCTGGCCTCATTAGGACCATCCCTTATGGAATTACTCAAATAAAATATTTCCTAGGGACATAAAACTGACAAAAAACTAAACAAATACAAAAATGATGCAAAGCTCAAGTTAATAATTCCACACCAGAAACACTGGTATAACACAATAAATACCTCATACGACAAGAGAGAGCCAGAGGGACGAGAGTGAGAGACAGACAGACTTGTTCTGCTTAATATTTCAGCTTTGTCAGAATTGTAGCTTTTGGTTCTAGCGATGTCATCCACTTTGGTCCAGGCTTCAGTATCTTATTAAATCTTTTGACTTGCCATGTTTTATTGGCATTCATGTTCTCCCCTGGGGGCAACATCTGCTGACTGTGGTGTTCCCCTAATGTCCCCAGATTGAGGCTGACTTTTTTTTTGTGATAAACAATGTTTTGTTGGGCCTTGGAGCAATGGTCCATCCATGCTCTAATTTAATAAACTCACATATTTTTCAGTCAAGTTTCTGGAAGACAATTTAAAATAAGCTGCCATGAGGTTTTGTACAGCAATTAATGTCGTGCAATCCAGGATGAATTGTAATAACTTGGGTGACTTCCTGACTTTTAATCTTGCCCTGTTTGTCCCATTTTGCGTATGATATTTTGATATTGGTGTTAGCGTTTAGCTCAAAGCACAGCTGGGCTTCAGCAGAGCCTGATATAGCTGCTACTGTAGCAGGCTGTAGACATTTATAGTGTTATACTCATGTTTTTGCTTGAAAGGAAACAGAAACACATCCATCAACAATTTGATAAAGATCTAGGGAGGGTGGATAACTCCTGGCACCGTTCTCATCTCTGCACAGAAGTAGAATTGTAATGTTTTGTTTGTTCGGAAATGTTACAGATGTAATCAGCCAAAGTTGTGATGTTATGTTAGGAAGGTCAGATGCAAAAGGTGAGGATGTCTGATGCTATTGTACCATGTGAAATGCATTTTGAATTGGAAGCTTTGTTCATTTGCTTGTTTTAACATGGTAGAGCAACATTTCTGAGATATGAGTCACAGTTCGTCGAAACATGACCAATCTCTCTCGCTAATGGATTAGAGAGGCTATAAAAGTAAGGCTGTAAAAGTCAGTGTTCCCATCAGCCAAGGAAATTAGATATAACACACAAATGGATCTGAACAAGTAAAGTCGCAGGACATGAATCAGCACGTAAGAGGAGATGATGAGGTTTCTTTTTAAAGGCTCATTTCATGTATTATTGTAAACACACTAAATATTCAAGAAGCTTTGTCCACATCTGTTCTCTGTTCTCCTACCAGTCAGTGTTACATTAGTGTTTGTGCTCTCCTTCCAGTAGAACTGATTTCCATTGTGGGTGTAGTCGATCATATAACCACTGACAGGCTGACCCGGAGCCTTCCAGCTGATTTCAATGACTCCTTCAAGGGTTGTGGTTTGGACGTCGGTAACTTGAGGGAGGCCTGTCAAGTGAGAATAAGCGGAAAGACAAGGTTTGCCTGATATCAAATCAACAACCTGCTTCAGTGGAAAGCACTGTTCCATTAGGATGACTCATTATGATGCATTAATTGCGGTTACAGATCGATATCGACTTACTCTCTCTGGCGGCTGGAACATAAACAGAGTCCTCTGAAAACACGGCGTCATTATGGGAGACTGTGAGAATGATTCTGTGTGCATTCTGGTTCACATCAACATCATAACTTGAATTGCCGCATAAAGTTTCGGTGTAATTTACTCCAGTTATGTTTTGCTTGGAGGGAATCAGCTTGATCCTGTAGGTAAATGTGTCCTGGCATGTTGAAGGAATCCCCTGTGTCGACAGAAGAAGCAGAGGTTAATAAATCATATCAGGAGCTTGTCTCATTGGAAATGTTGGTTTTAAGGTTGAATTACAAGTTTGGAAGCTGAAAGAAGTGTTGTTCTTTTTAACAAATGTGCTAAATAAAGACATCAACTTCCTTACCGTCCACATGGCATGAACTTTTCTCAAACCGTGCTTCTCTGGTTCGGCTATGTTCCTCCAAAGACGCAGCTTGACATCAGTCACTGAAAGAGTTAGAATAATTTAAATAATTAACACTGAAACACATATATAGCATAATGACACAGCAATAAAATAAACTTTAACAAAACAGTTTTGGGTCTCAACATATGCTAAAAAAAAAAAAAAAAAAAAAAGGACAACTGAAAGCTAAATTTTGAGCTCATTGCAACAAGCTGTTTTGGGGTTTTCAAGGATTCTACCGAACATTTTATTCATCTTTTATTTATTTATGATTCATCAAGTCCTAGCACCTGTGAATATTTACTTGTTATTGTAAATGACTCATCCTTGATTCTGTAGTAACCTTATTATGTGTTTGTGTTCCGGCCCTGTGATTGTATATATATCTGTTCTCTGCAACAATTTTAATGAGTGACAAAATGCTGAATGAGTCACACACCCAGTTCACTTTAAAATTTGTATTAGCTGTACTTTAACATATTCACTTCCAAGTCTCAACCTGAAAGTCAGTGAGACAGATCTTTAGTAGCTCTAGCTGATATTTAATTTCTCAAAGACCCCGTACTGATGTCTGAACATCACAATTTATTTGCAAAAGTCTTTGCGAACAAAGGAAACGTTTGTTTGTTTTTTGAAGCAAAGCCAATTCTGGTTTCTGGTGGATTGGAAAACTTCATGCATACAAATGGAAGACACGACCTGGCTTGATTTTACCAAGACTGAATCGAGTTTGCTTAAAATCTATGTTTTTTCCACATAGAGTGACGAGAGCCATTGTTGTTCCTTTGAAAAAAAAGTGAAATAAAATGTTCTCAGTAGACACAAGTGTAGACTGTTGTCTGTAAACATAAGCAGTTTAGAGGATTTGCTCTTATCAAACAGGTGCTGTGCACATTTCAAGAATTAAAGACATTTACTTAGAATAAACCTGAGTTCTGCTATATGCATGTGTAACATGTCGCACATTCTTCCTTTAACCATATATATTGAACATTTTCGATGCATAAGTGATTTAGTAGTTCAGATTCAGACGATGTCTTACTGTTTAGTTTGGTCAAAACTCTCTTCTCAAGGCTCCAGTCGCTCCAGGGCGCCTTGTCTAAAGCACAGCGGACTGAAAATGTATAGGTGCTGCAGGATTCCAAGTTTTTAACGGTTATGTTCCCCCTTTCTTCACCGTATAAAGTTGTATCAATCAACCACTTGGAAAAACAGAAAGCTTTCAGTTAGAAACATTATTTCATATCCTACTGAAGTCAAGAAGGTCTGAAGCTTCGTACATTGATAAAGGATTAATTTAAGGTAGAACGTATGCTTACCTCTGGAGTTCTTACATTGACAACCTGAAACAGAAGCACAAATGGTGTTATTGAAGCCATCGAGGGAATTGCAATTAAAGAAGCCAGAATCAAAAAAAGCTCTACCTGTTTTTACAACTTTTTACTTTCCCATTGTGTCCTCTCTGTTCAAAATCAATCCCCATGGTAGCCTACACTACATGTAATTCAAGTTCTAAAATACAATTGAGAAATTCAGATTTGTCTGAAAAAGATAGTTCCCTCTGGATTTTAAAGCTCATGTCTTTTCAGTCGCCTCTGTTCCATCTGGTCTGGAAGAACTGAATTCAGTATGATTGTCAAAAACCCAAAATCTATAATACTATCAACCTGGAACACAGCAGTTCACCATTATAACATCATTTAAGCTTCCCACCTTGAGCTTGATAGGCTAATGAATGAATTGCTGCCTCGTGAATTTGGTCAATTAATATTTCCTGTTTTCTCTTTTTAGACCGACTCTTGTGAATTCTAGGTGTATGTTTATTGTCAGTATTGCTGTTTTAAGGTGTTATAGTCCAATTTAGTCACCTTCGATTTAAATGTTAGAGTGCAGATTCATTTAAACTATGACTTTGTTTTTTTGTATTTTTTATTTTTTTTCAGGGGCGGGAGACCTTTTCCATTTTGTGATTGGTAAAAAAAAATAATTCAATACCCTTTTCACATTTTCAAAGTTGCCTCCAATGCCAAAAACTTTGAATGCCAAATGTTGCAATGAAAAGAGGGACATACCTTATTGTATTTGACTTGACAGTGACACTCTACTGAACTGTACATCTGGGTCCATTTAACCAAAACACCACCAGGGCGAGTAGTTACATCTAACTTTGGACGGACAATTTTCCCTGAGGGAATTTCAGAAACAATCGATGTTAAAACACCTAGAAAAAAAGTATTTTTTCAGCACATTTTCCTTTATTTTACTTACATATTTGATTGAAGGTAAATTCTTGAGTTTCAGAATAAGCTTCAAAAACAGAAGAATTAGCTCTCACAGTGACATTAAAACTCCCGAACATGGATATTTTATCAGATATATTTTTATATTTTGATGTGCACGTTGTTATTTGAGAGTTGCAGATTTCACTCTGGGAAGGGTGCAGCCAAGAGGAGCTGAAAAAAAAAACACATTGAATTTTTAATACATACTTAAATCAACAGTACAAAGGATAATTACTCAGTTAGTTTATACTCAAAAGTACAAAAAAAAAATAAACACACCTCAGTACAGTGTAGTATATTTCTTTTGAAGGATTAATCTGATGCTCCCAGTTGCATGTAAGCAGTTCTGGTACACCAGACGCATTTTGATTATCATAGTCAAGGATGCAGGAGATTTTGCTAGGTTTTGCTGAAAAATAAATAAATAAAAAGAAGTTGAGAAGTCTTGATTCTGGACTGGTTGAGGTCCTACTTAAGTGGCCAGTGTTTGTATGTTGGATTTGCTGATGCAAGGTCAGCTGCAACAGGTATTCGCCATGGCGTACCCCAAGGCTAAGTGCTAGGTCCAATATTTTTTTCTCAATTATTTTATTATGTTGTAATGCTGTCTCTGAGGTTGATATAAATATGGGAGGGGGGCTAACATATCAGTATTTTTTATTTTATTTAGAATCATCAGCAATGGAAAAGACAATGGGTTGCAAAAACAATATTTCAAATTTACATTTTTGATAATTCACTAGTTACCAAAAAATGCACCACAGTAGCCAATATTGCCATTCAAGCAGTTCCTATCTTACAGTAAAGGTATCTAGTACAAAACTGTTAGCTAGCTTACTGTACTTCTCTTAGCTAGAAACCTTTCTACAATCCCTTCGAATTTTCACTATCTATTGTCCGATTAATCGTTTATCAATCAGGGAGTTGTGATTGGAAAATAGTTTTTAAGGTTCTCTCTGTTATGGGATTTGCATTATAACAGCATCTGTGCTTCCCAACCTGAGCCTGACTTCAGAGGAAAACAGCAATCATGTGAAAATGGTAAATATATGTGAGAGAGGGATTCCAAACGTAGTTCAAGCAAGCACAAATTCCATAATTTGAATTTTTTGTTATCTATCCTATAAATTGTAGACAATATTTTTCAATGTTTAAACCTAGTATATCACAACAGGGAATAAAATGTCAGTCATTATTTAAATCTTTCTTTTATAAACTCAAAAACATTTCAATTATAAGACCATTTCTCACTACCCAATATCTTGAAACTCTTTCCAGGCCTTTATAACCAAATGTAACCATGTTTTGATAGTTTCTATGCTTTTTTTTTTATTTGCAAGGAGCTACAACAACATATTCAAAGTCAATTTATAGTTCAAAATATTTCTTACAGTATGTCTTGATGGTGGTACCACCAATGATATCCCCTGTTGCTTTTTCATGGCACACCACAGTGGCACTGTGCTCAGTGAAGTTCCTCAGTGACAGGACTGTGTACGAGGAGTTAATGATATTTGACAGGGTCTCGTCAATTTCTCTGTTTTGCAGCGTCCAGTAGATTTTTTCATTAACGCAAGTGTGGCACACGATCTTGATATCGGATCCCACTTCAATGTACGGATCTGTAGGGACAACATTGCATCTGCTCTCATGCTCACCTGCAGGGAAAAAAACAACACTTTGGCTTTAGACATTTTGCAGGAGATTTTGTGTTGGTGTTGTTTCCCTTTGGATATGTGTAACGTCTTCACTTGACCTGACCATGGCAAGTGTTCTCTGCTATCATAAGATGAGCCTCTAACAAAAGCAGCAAAACTGAAGAGGGAGCTGAGACACGGCAAACACTCACTACAAATCTGTAACTCAGTAAGATTCCAGTTCAACATTAGAGGGTGGTTCCACATCTGGTTTGAAGCAAATATTTCTATTAACAATGGTTCTGTTCAAACAGATTCTCCACAGTTTCTCCCACGCTTTTTGCTGTTCCCTTCTTAAATTGGTTATATTTATGCATGTCTGAATGTGGTTTAATCTGGAGCATCATAAAGTTGTTGGAAGAATAGCTCAAAGCCTTGAACAATAAAATATTGCTCCCAAACCAACCCATGAGAGTAAAAATACATTCTTGTAACTAAATTGTGGTGTTTTCCTATGCAGTTTACATAAACATAAAGTTTATAATCCTGGTTTGTGACTTTTGGATCAATTTAAATACAATCATAATTTAACATTTTAATGGGACAACAGGAATAATGTCTTAGTATTCCAGCAAATGTCAAGCTAAATTCAATACACACCATATACAGTAACCATATCATCAGTAGTGACCATTATGTAGCCTAATGAAACGAAAACAAAAGCAGCTTTTCCCATAACTCCCACACTCAGCAGCATTTTGACCGGTCAGATATAAGCCAGTAAAAGATACTAAAATAAGGCTACTAAATGTAATCATTTTACTTACCTTTACAAATGGAGGAAATCCCAACCAGTATGATGAATGGGGCTAGAAGGAGATGCATCTCTTTTATCCGTCTACCAGAGCTCAAAGAAATCGCCTTTTGAAATACATTTAGAGCTGAGAGATATCAAGGTACAATATACGATTTACTGTCGCCTGAACAATGACCGTGAAGACTGACTATATAATACACAGCACCACATTTTCCTCACCAGCTCTGTCTTTTAGCCATCATGTAACAGGAACTGAAGCAAACGGGAGGTATTATGCAACTGGAAGCACAGTGAGCTAAGGGGAAGTGAAGTAACTTGTCCACAGAGAAACTTCAGATGAAGTGTGTCTGTTTCTTCCTGGAGATGAGTGCGCTCCAAATACACTTCTATGACGAAGTAATTATGTAGCCTACTTTATTATTAAAATGAGTCACACATAGCTGGCTGAAAATGCATGTCTGGTGTAAATCTGGCTGGATCATAGACTGTATAACTAACACAGACCAATCATAGATGTTTTACAATAAAAGAGGAAGAAAGTGTGAGCATAATTATTTAACATTAAGTCACCTTTTCTGTGAAGCCACCTGTGCACAAACAAGGGCTCAAATTTATTTGAACAAACTTACTAATTTACGTAGGCGTATAGGGCCTATTGTAGGCTACCCATTTTAAACATGCTCACCTAATCAACCTAAACAAAGAGGGATTTAAAACAAGAGTGCATCATCTGTATTGGTTGTATTAGCTGAAAGTTGTGTGCCTGGTTGTACCTTAAAAGCAATTTCATTATACTGCAAAAAGAGGGGAAAATATTTGGAGCCTCTATTTATTTTAGTTTTTACAACATATATTTTATGTAGCATTTAATCTACGCCCTCTCAACAAAATTGGGATTTAACAGACTAGTCAATTTGCACAATATAAAAAACCAACTGCTGTGCTGTTTATACAGTACGCTTCTGTGACTAAACAGCTCCACCTAGTGGTTAATGCATGATGATTTGCAATTTAATATAATGAACATTCCTCTTTTTTCATTTGCCCTCCTATTATTGTACTTCTTTTTTTCTTCTTCTTTTTTTCCCCACATAAACCTTTAATTTCAGCACACGACTGTTTTTTTTACTTCGGTGTTGAAGGCTAATAGACGGAAAATGGGCGATGTACATTTGAAAAAATTGTAAAAACAAAACCTAAAAAAAACAAAATTTTCGACAAAATATTATAAAAATGTGTTGATATTTTAAAAATAATTAAAAAAAATTAAAGCTAAGAATGCAAAGAATTGTATCATAACTTTTTTTTTAAATTTATACCCCGGAAGTAGTATTAAAGCTAAGTAGCTAACGTTGCTAGTCCAGCCTTCGCCTTGCTTCTTTGCGACCGTAGAAGTATATGACTTAATTCGTTTCTCATTAATTGCATATATATTGTCGGTATACGAAAGTCGATATTTTCTCATATAAAACATGTAGAGTGTTTAAGCCTTAATAGTTTGTGAAGCTAATTGCAAATTTGTATAAGGAGTATTTCCGGGGTACTTTTGTAACTTGGATACATAATACACCGTAACACCGTACCTGCTGACCTGTCGACCGTCCCCGCTTTTTAATGGCCACTGCGGTGCTTGTAGCCGCTGTTGTCGGCGGTGGGGTACTGTTACTCATGCGCCGTTTATTCCCTCGGCAGGCAGCTGTGAAACTGCTCCGTTATCCGGCCGACACTATGCGAGGGAAGACGGTTATCGTGACCGGGGCTAACTGCGGGATAGGAAAGGCCTTAGCCGGGGAGCTGCTGAAGCTCCATGCCCGAGTTATCATGGCCTGTCGGGACCAGCCGAGCGCCGAAGAGGCGGCCCGGGACATCAGAAAACAAGCCGGACAAGAGCAGGGGGAGGTTGTCATCAAACACCTGGACCTCGCTTCTCTCAGATCAGTACGGAAATTTTGTGAGGAAATTAATGAGGTGAGTTCAAATGAATGAACAGACAGTGAAGTTAACGCTTCTACTGCATGGAGAGTTAGTTTACCAGCTAACTGTGTTTTCAACTTTAAATAAAATATAATATAATTACTTTATTGATCCCAAACTGGGACATTGGGGCATTACAGCAGCAGGTTGTCCAAACACATAATGAGTAAAAAAACCCACAATATTAGCAAATCTAAACACAATATAATATTAAATACAAAGTAAATAAGTACTAAAAAATATAAAAATTAAGAATGTGAATATATACAACCAGGATTTGATTTAGCATTACTAGTCTTAAATAGGAAGATTAAATGTAAATGTGCAAGAACAGAGTCTTAAATGGTAGTAAATAACTAGGCTACTTCTAAATAATTAAATTCTAGTTATGTCATTAAAACAGATAAAGGTATATTATATTATTATTATTATTATTATTATTATAAGCTTCACTGGGACTGTCCGTGGTGCTGAAGTTGTGCTTCCCCCCTCAACTCACTATAACCACAGCTGGCTTTTTATCATTGACAGTGCTGCATGCCAACCACACGGTGGTGTGTTTTGGTCGACCATGGCTCAGTCCAGTAACTAAATGAACAACATCAGAGTACACGACATTAATATAACTACTTAATATATTAGTGCTTATCTTTTCTCGTGAGAAACATAAAACTAAACCTACTGTTTAGTGAACAGTCTCTATGTCATATACAGACATTGTCAAATGGTTATGCCCTCTTATTTGAGGTCTTGACAAAAAAAAAAAAAAGAGTGAGTTTTGTATGTCCAAAGCTGAAGCCATCTCTGTTTTGAATGTTTTTCTCTGATCAAGCATTGTCAAGGACTTACAAGATCTTCTAAAATAAACGCTTTACCCATTTTCAAGATAATTTCCAGAAGTGTCAGACAGAGTCCCTACCTAGCATTTCTGTTAATTACTTCTTATAACCACTGGGTGTCACTTGGTCATCTTAATAAGACCTAGTGTTTGTATTCAGGATATAAAACTGACAAAACTTGGCCAAAAGGGAACTAATTAAGGCTTTTTTTTTTTTTAAAAAAGGGATAATGTTAGTTAATGCCTTCAAAAATGGCTTGTATTGGTTCAAACTTAAAGCATGGCAGATATGGGTTCTGTGAGACAAGTACACTTCTAATTATGGTAAATGGACTTGAGCTTGCATAGCGCTTCTCTAGTTTCAAGACTATTTAAAGTGCTTTTACACCGTAGGTCACACCTACCCATTCACACTCATTCACACACCGAAGGCAGAGGTTGCTGTGTAAAGTGTCCATCAGTATAATCACCTTTCATAAAAATTCACACAGCCAGCAGCAGGAGCAACTTTGGGTTAAGTGTCTTGCCCAGGGACACATCGGACATGTAGCTGCAGGAGCTGGGGATTGAGCCCCCAACCTTCCCATTGAGAGGGAGCTGTTACAAATAAGTTTTCACACTGGCTTGTATTGCTAACTATGCACTGATTCCAATGTGACTGTGTTGATAGGCCCACATCAGGTGCATATCGACTAATTAATGTTTATATATATCACACGTATTTCCAACAGCCTTAAATCACCTTTTATACATTTGTTCAGAAAATACATGGTGTTAGATTTAAAAAAGATAAAACCAAAGCTCCCTTTATTTTATATAAATCTATGAGTCTCATGTGAGTTTGTTATTTATTGATATTATCGAGTCATTAAAGGGTTCAAATTGTTCTGTCCCTGCAGGAGGAATCCAAGATTGACGTGCTCATCAACAATGCAGGCCTGTACCAGTGTCCCTACACAAAGACAGAGGAAGGGTTTGAGATGCAGCTAGGTGTCAATCACCTGGGCCACTTCCTCCTCACTCACCTCCTGCTGGACCGTCTGAAGTCCTCCACTCCCAGCCGCATCGTTGTGGTTTCCTCAAAGCTTTACAAATACGGCCACATCAACTTTGATGACCTGAACAGTGAGAGTAACTACAACAAGTCCTTCTGCTACAGTCAGAGCAAGCTGGCCAACCTGCTGTTTACACTGGAACTTTCCCGCCAGCTGGAGGGCACAGGGGTCACGGTCAATGCTCTTACCCCGGGCATTGTGAGGACCAGACTGGGCAGGCATGTTCAAATCCCACTCCTTGCAAAGCCCCTCTTCTACCTCGCTTCGCTACTTTTTTTCAAGAGTCCTTTGGATGGGGCCCAGACGCCGCTCTATCTGGCCTGCTCCCCCGAGGTGGAGGGAGTGTCGGGGAAGTGTTTCGCTAACTGTGAGGAGGAGCAGCTGATGGATAAAGCCACAGATGAGCAGGCTGCCAAGAGACTGTGGGACATCAGCGAGAGGATGGTCGGCCTCGCTAACTGAGCAGAGTCCTGCTCTGTGGACTTGGAAGTTATCTGGTCCTGGACAGAACCGCCTCTGTCCAGGACCAGGTAATTGTCTTGGATTGTATCCAACTGCGACCTTGAGGATATAGCTGATAATTGAACAACATATTGTGCCAATGAAGTGTTTAAATGAAGTGTGTGTGTGAGCAGGCGTGTACATTTCAGTGTGATAATCAGAGAATGTGTACGTTTAGGATTTCTTAAAATTCCTGTACATTGCTGGTTCAAACAAAGATGCATTGCTGTGTGAAAATCTCTCTCTCTCTCTTCATGAACTTTAACTACAATAATAATCCTCATTAACACATGTTCATGTAAAAAGGGAAATAAAACTACATGGTGACCTCTATACATGGCCAGGATGACTTTTTCTCTCCGGGAGAAGACCACTTGGGAAATCAGGTTTCTCTAATTCCTTACACAGGGCCGAAATATCACAGTGTACTTTTCTCAAGTATGAATGTGAGGTACTTCTCCATTACTAGACACGTTTTTCAGTGTTGTCCCTTTGCTCTGTTAAAAGTCTGAGAGAACTAGTGTACATTTTTTGTACATCTGACGTTTGCCACGTCAAGTCTCTAGCTTTCTTACTAGTTAAGATTATTGTACACACAGACCTGTAGAGCTAATTAAACAATATTTTGGTTCAAATTAAACTTGCCAGCTGTTATTTTCCATGCATATTATTTCATGGTTCAGATCAAAGATGTTGAGATTTACTGCTTTAACTTTTTTTACTTTACTACTTTAAGTACTTTTTTAGGTTTTGGAGTTATGAATTGGCAAAAGAAAATCATAGCAGTAACGGTAAAAATAATCCTCAGTTCTTCTTTGAGAAACCATTTCGTTGATGAATTTATGTTAAGTTTATAAATGAATAAAAATCATCTAATTATACAATAAAGTGGTTCTGAACTGATCCAGCCTCAGGATCCACCACCAGAATCCTTCATGAAATATCTCGACCAAATTTCTGATATTTTTCAGCCAATCAGGTTTATAAAACATTGTTCAGTTTGGACCTCAGACGGTACAAAACATGACAGAAAATTGAAAAACAAAAATGTTTAAAAAGTGATTCATAGAATTTTTGACAAAAGCTTTTCGCAAGTCACATATTAGCGAGTGACCCACTGAAGAGAGGCTTTGCGAGTTTTACTTGTCATGAGAGTATTTTACACACTGTTATCAGTACTCTTAAATAAGTGAAGGGTCTGAATACTTCCTCCAACATTGCCCCTACCCCTATGATGAAAAAGGTGGACAGAAATAATGCTCGATAGTAGATTTTCCCTGTGATTTTGCATCTGAAACCTACACAGCACATTTCTTTTTTTTGTTGGTGACCTGACAGAGATTCACACATCAGGATGAAAGGGAGACATCTCTTCTGCTCATTGCATCCATCAAACTCAGCCGGATGCGTTGGCAGCTTTTCCTCCATTACGAGGTCACTTTATTGCTTGTGCCGTGCAAATCTTCACAGCGTTTTCAAAAGCACTTTCTATTTCTGGCTCAGCTTTTGTAGTTGAATGCTAAAAATGTGCATACTTTAGCATGTATTATGCAGTGTTAAAGAGAAGAAGAAGGGGGGTAGCGGGGTAGCTGTTAATCTGGATTCCCTGCTGTTGATGTGTTTGAAGTGTAAATGCTCTCTGCTGTGTGTCTGGTGGAGGCCGAACAATGAGGTTTACAATACAGATGAGTGAGACACAGTGGCTCCCTCCTGTGGATGGACTCAAATTGACTTATAAATCCTCTGACCTCTGTTATGGAGGAGAGGAACGAGGAGATTATTGAAATGTGAAGGTTAGATGCATAAGAAGAAAAGAATAACACTAAACACCTGAACGACAGCTTGGTTAAAATGCTCTATGTAGAGGATAGACTAGATTTAGGACTGCAACCATCAATTGTTTCAGTATAGATGAACCTATAGATTATTATTTAACAGTACAACACACCACTTACTAACACAAGTTCACCCAAACATATTTACTGTTATAAAAGATAAAGATATGACAGATTTGCCAAAGTTTCTGCCTGTCTAAAGGACTTTTTTGTGTGCCTAAGTTTCTAAATGTTGCCAAGTGCTTGCTCACTGGTGGAATAATTTTGTCTCTCAACTGGTGGGTCAGGACCCTAAAGTGGGTCGCTAAAGAAATATAGTGTCAAAAAGACGGTGCACACTTTTTAAACATGTTCGTTTTGTTCCTTCTCTTTGTTCTGTTACATGTTTTGTACCATCCGAAGGTCCAAACTGCAAACATTTCCATTGAATGAATCTGATCAAACCGTCTGCTAAATGAATTGTAGAGTTGTTAAAACTCAATCAACCAATTGCATAGCCTAAAAAACTCAGAAAATACTGAAAATATACTTCAGATTGGCAAGTCCAAGATGATGCTGTTAGAAGCTTTGTATTGTCCAACCAAAAGTCCAAAATATCTTCAATCCACATATCACCAGTTTAAAGCAAAGAAAATCACCTAACCCACACATTGTATCAATAAATCAATCATTATTTGTATAGCCCAAATTCGTAACAAGTGTTATCTCGAGACGCTTTACAAAAGAGCATATGGGATAATATGCAGGATTTCTCCTTTGTATTCCTAGCGTTCCTGTTGTCCACACCACATTTTAATAGTCTTCCTAAACTTTTGTTTTTTCTTGGCTTATAGCTATAATGATTCATTCCTTGTCCATAAAGTCCCATATTTATGTTCTGATTCCTTTCTTGTTTTAACCAGATGCCTCAATGCAATAGATGGAGCTAAAAAAGTAACAGATATCTGCACACAGATACTTACATTCTTATGTGTTTATTTTATTTTAGCACTACCCCCCCTGTGTGTAGTGCTGGAGTGTAGTAATCGTTGCCTTATGTTGAGAATAATCTCCTATTTAGTTTCAAGTAAAAATACAAACATTCCCTCGTAGTATTCTCTTGATGACTTCTTGGAACATGCAAATAAACTTCCTCTCTTCTTTTTTTGGGTTTGCTGATGTTGCCAAAATTCCTCCTCTACTGGCCTATTTTTAAATCTACAACAGTGATACAGCGGGGCTTCGTAGTGACTCAGCAGGCTTGTGCCACATGGCTGCTGAAGTCTGGTTTGGATAATAAAGGGAATCTTGAAGCTCATGTGTGTAATTTGTGCTTTATTATGCGAACAAAACAACAAAAAATATAGAATCATGCATCGCCGTCAAATAAAACAAGGTTACAGTGGCTTTTATGTGGGGCGTGGGCATCCAAATCTGAGGTAGACTGGGGTCGGGAAAACCTCTCCGTGCGATATAGATGAGCAAAAATATAAAATAATACTGACTGCTCAAAACAGATCTCAAAACGCTCCATAGATAACGATAAAACACACCCATCGATACTGTGGAACTCACTCAACAGAAGGTAAAAATAAATGTCTCATGTAAGCAATCGTTTGTTGTTGTGTTCTTCCGGTGTTCGACATTCGTATTAAAATCCACACAAGGCAAACACAGTTTCAGCCGATTGAAAAGAACGACCACGGGGAATCTGTTTTTGCACTTCATGTGGGCGCTGATCAACGCCTTTCAGATTTTTCAAATATAGGATTGGCAGCTTTTAAATTTATGTACAAGCTCCAGCTCAACAAAGAGTTCAATTTTTTTTTTTTTTACTGAATTGTTTTGGATGTAGTTCTTGTTTGCAGCTACATACAAAATATATGACTTGGTTTTTAGTTATAAGTATATATTTGTACATTTGTAAATTGAAATACATACCAGTTCTTACAAATTTCACAGGCTTCACAGCCAATTCTTGGAACACACCTGACTCGCTCCGGGGAACTTAAGTGTAAACATTCCTATCCGATCAAGTCTTTTAAAACACTCAGCAGAAGTTACATATTAGTTATACTGAATAATCCAAGCCCCCCTCACCCATCCCCCCCCCCCCCCCCGGCTACTATTTAAACCATTTCTATCAAACTGATCGTGCTAACAGAAGGTGCAGCTCAATAAACCTGATCTGGACGTCCTTTCAGTTCAGAAGAGTTCCGTAAAGCTGCGCCTTGGTCAGGCTGTCCTTCCTGGAGAGTCCCAAAGAGCCAAATTTTTGGTTGTACGGGGGAGGGGGAGGGGCTGGGACCGGCGGTGGGGACTGGCTCACCTGCGGGGGCAGGCTGTGCATCTCCACCTGGTAGTGCTGCAGCTCTGCGGCCATTTCCAGGGTCCTCTGGTCCAGGGACTCGGTGGAGCTGTTGGGGCTGGGGTCAACGTAATCCACACTCTGCCCGCCTGCTGCCACAGGACCCTCCCTGTCTTTGGAGCTGGACCCTGAGTGGTAGAGGCTGTGCTCGGACCCCTGACTGTCCTCTGCTCTGTACAAGTGGGCTTGGCTGTGAGCCTGCCGCAGACCTGGGCTGCATTCAGGACTCGGGCTTGCAGCGACCCACTCAGAGTCCATCGCCCCCCCTGCTTGGTGGTAGTAGTCAGCCCCTTCCTGGAAGCTGCTGTAGAGCGGCCCGAGACGGATCTTTGCCGGCCGGACTGAGAAGTGCTGCTCCGAGAAGCTGTAAGGTGAAGCTCGACCTGGGCTGCGGTACGAGTGGGCGCTCAAGTCCTCGACGCTTAGCTGCCTCCATCTGCCGATCAGCTCCTCCTCCTCGGGGGCTAAAGTGCTGCCCCGACGACTGTCTCCGTAGGCGACGCTCGGGGATGAGGAGGGCGGGAGCGGCTCGTAGGGCTCGCTGAAACAGGAGGACATGGTGCGGCTGTAGACGGGGGAGCTGCCGTTCTGGTGGTGGCTCAGCTCTGTCTGCTGGAAGGGGTGAGCGTTTGCAAAGGCTCTTGGACTGTCTCTCTCCCAGGATGAGTCACTCTTCCTCTCATAGTCCCCTGCATCCCTCCACTCCATGTAGAGGGAGTGGTGGTGCGGGGATGAAGCAGCGCTGCTGGGTGGGCCGTTACCTTTGTCTTCAGACCCCGCTCCGCTGAAGCTGGAGTAGGAACTGGACCCTGCACCCAGCGGTGGAGGGAACTTGGCAAAGTGCTCCTGCGAGAACCCGGCCCTCAACCCTACCGAGCCCTCCTCTGGGTTGCTGTCGGTGGAGTTCTGGGGCCCATAGAGCAGCTTTCTCTGGCCGTGGAGGTCCATGCTAGGCCTGCGCTCACGGTGTCGGTCGTCTGGGCAGTACAGAGCCGTGTCGCTGCTGTACAGGTCAGATTTATAGGCCGCACGCAGCCCCAGACGCTCTCCCGGTCCGAGGCGTTCGAGGATAAAAGTGTGCTCCTGGGCTTGAGGGCTGGGTGAGCGGGAGGCCTGGCTGCTGCTGCAGGCCTCGTCTGGCTTCTCGAGGACTTTAGCAATGAGAGAGGCAGAGTCGGAGTACGTGTGACAGAGAGGGGAGTCCTCCAAGTGCAGGGTCAGGCGCTCCTGAAAATCTGCAGGCAGCTAGAGGAATCAGAGAAAAGAGACGGATGTATGGAGTGTTTTTAATTTGCATTAACAGGCTTTGAATTTCACTGAAGATATTCACGGCATCGTTTTTTGTTTGGTGTACAGATGAGTCTGTACACTCCTGTACAAAAGACTTCCTGGTTATCTGTTACCAGATACAGAAAATCTGCAAGGTGCTCTACATTTAAGGCAATAAGTGAACAAAGTGTTGGTTACGATCAATACCGACATTTGTCTGATGTTTGCAGGTAAGATAGGATGAGGAGGCAACAGGGAAGGTGAAGGTTTTTCATTTATTATTCTAACATTTTTTTTACCAGGAAATCATCAATCAGAGAGACACGAAGAAGCCAAATTATGTTAGACAAATTCTTTGAATGAACACAAAGGAAACTGTAATTCTATGCCTGGAGTCTGGACAGTGACATTTTTGATCCTGCGTATAATCCTCTCTCCCTGTGCCACAGTGGCCCTTTTGATTTTCAGTTTTAATTGAAACGAGCAAATCCCCACTACATGTTGTTCTGTGATGTTAATCAAAAAAAAAAAGAAACTGGAGAGAGCAGAGACACATCCCCAGCTTGTGTTACTTGGTTTTGAGAATGCAACTCTGCAAGGTTTTCTCCACTGCAAGAGTCATACAAACAGTTTTTATTTCTCACTAGCTGTATCCCATTCATCATTTGACTGAGAATATGTAATGGTTGCATATTCAAGATTTTTCTTAAGAACGGAAAATCCCCCTAATTAAGTATTAATGTCAGAATATTCAGTTTGCATTACGTCTTCTTTGCACTGGGTATACATTACTTGCTTTTGATATCCCTGTTTACTTTTGGCCTTGCACTCTTCTTCTAATAAAAGCTCAAATATTGTCCTCCTTTTCAACGAGTTTCAAAGTATCAAAGCTCCAAAACATGTCTGTGAAGTTTCTTGTTATAAATCCACTCTGATCCTGTATTTGATCATGCCTGTAAACCCCTCTATTTCACCCCTGCTCAGAACAGGCTGTTTCTGTGTCTGTATCTTTAAATGTAAATGAGCTGAGTCTGACCACGCCCCTCTAGAAGGGATTGGGTGGCTCGGGCTTTGTTGCTCCGTGCCCTTTTTTTGTTTACGGTGGAAAGGAGGGGGAAACAAACACCTAGCTGTGGGAGTGTCACCCACCTGGGGGAGGGGTTACTGCCCTTTGTGATGTCACAAAGGGAAAATCTCCAAACGGCCTGTTTGAGCACACATTTTCTGAAAAGTGGAGCAGGCGAAAGACGGAGAGGATGGACTTTTCTCATAGTTGGGGGGTTTGAAGACAGGCTTGGGACACATATTAGTGTTCGGAAACCTTGGTAAAGTGTATTTTGTATTTCCTTTTCTTTAACTTCCAGTATTTTTGACTTCTTGGCTGGTTTATAAACCTAAATCCACATTTCCATTGTCAGACACTAGTCCTACATTTTGCGTACTGTCATGATTTTGCCAGAGATTATCTAACTTGTCCGAACTCAAAGTCAGCTGACGATAGAGGTGGCTCACAGTGGGGCTAAAGATTTGAACCACTTTTTGTCTACTTTGGTTTCAGGTTTCAATGTCACTCATAGTAAAGTGGCCTTAACATGAAAAATCCCCAATGATTTACAATATACAAGAACCTTAGCTAAGAGGGAAAATATTTGTGAAAATGAAGTCGACCCGAGCTGCCTTCCTTGGAATGAAAGACATCGTGCTATTCTGAGCATGTCTCAATAAAGAGAAGCCTCCATCCTTCCACTATCTGTGCCTCTCCATAGCAACAAGCATTATACCAGCACATCATCAACAGGAATCTAGTCAGTTGTTCCTAATTGGCAATGAGAGGGTAGTTAATTATAACTTTGTGGATAGAGAAAAGACAAACACCTCTGAGCAGGAGAAAACACATTTTTTCATCACAGTTTTATTACAGATTGGACCAAACTAAATCCCATTAATTACTGTCCAAACATTTTTCATTCGGTCTTGTTTTGAGCGAGATCACATTAAGCTTTTCATGATGCGTTTGGAAATGCAAGTCTAATCATTTCATACCCCACACTGTGCTTGTTTTGCAGCAAAACAAAACAACCGAGGCACTTCAGCAGCCTCTGAAGAGCTGCTGCACTTCTCAAAATGCTGCAGCATCATTCATCAATACGATGTCGATTGGCTCCCACCCACAGGATCAGCAAAACCAGCGGACATACAGTCGGTGCATGTATAGCCTCTGACCCCCCCATTATGTTTGGCCGTTTGCCTGCCGAACAGTTTTTCACTCCATAACAGATCCCATATGTACAGCCCGCATGTGTGCGTTTGTGCTCGTGTGTGCTGTTTATGCGTAGGGGGGGGATTGTTTTTATGGACCTTATGCAACCAAATGCAGTTTGCATTGATATTTCCATTCCACAATATAGGCGTTCTTTAACCTTGTGGACATTTGCCAGCTTTAAAAGTAAACAACCTTTGTCACATGGGCCAGGCACACGGCCCAGGGCTGATGCAGCGGAAAGTGGCGCCAAGCTGGCCTGGAGTTAAAATAATTCATCAATACACACATGCATCTCTTTACACAAGAGGAGCAGGACATCATGACGAGGCTGCGGTGCACCCCGCATTTACATTCTGCCTCACGTTGGACTTTAGTTCCTTGAAGGGCAAGCTTTCTGTCACATTTGTGCACAGTTTCTGTTTTTTTTTGTCAAACGTTAACTGGCATGCCATGTTGGTCTATGTTTCATGCATTGTCATTGTTGGTCATTGTCAAACAGTTACATGATTAGTAAACCTGCAGCAGTATAACCATGCTCTGACTCGGCTACATATCGAGTGAGAGGAGTAGAGAAGTTTAGAGACATTATTTACTTTAAACTCTCGCTGAATGGTGCCAACACGAGATCTGAGCTACAGTTCATTTTCATACCCAAGCTCAGTTAAATGCCAGAAGATGCAAAAAGAAAGCAGACGGCTCTTAATGGCAGCAATTTTTGATTTATTCATGATACTCTACACATTTTGTTACCATCTACTGTGTAACAGACGTGAATGTAGTCTCTGGGTTTAAAAACCCTGCCAGTCTCGTTGTTCAGGTCCTTAAAAAATGAACCTTCTTCTCACTTGATTTTTTATGAATTAAACATCTTTCTAATTGTATTTCATGGTGTTAATTGCTAATTTAAAAGCTTCATTAAACATTAAGATGTCCATTTAGTAAATCATGGCTCCATTCATATAAAAAGCAAGTATAGTGCAGACTATGTTTTAGGGTGTTTAAGTCACTGCACACCAGGCTAGAGGCGTTCAATGCGTATCCACTATGTTGGAAAAGCCAACCAAAATATGCTTTTACCAAAGTAACCAAATGTAATCACTTCTGGTTTAAAAATGTTAAGATGGCGACAGGCGATTAAAACAGGACCTGAGTGAGGAATACAATGTGTGTGCATTTAAAGGAACAGTACAGTATTTTTTTTTAAATGACAGGAAGAATATTGTCAACAGTAAGTATATGAGCCACAGGAGTTGCTGGTCAGCGTGGCCCCTTTAAGGAGAGACCAGACCAGAGTGCCAGGCCAGGAAGCTAGCCTATAAAGATATACAGACGAGGGCTTTTACTTCACGTAGTTTAGCCAATTTTAAGAAAAACTGAGTTAAAATACAACGTTGAGATAAATGTGTGCTAGACTGAAAAAATTGACAGCACTTTGTTTTTCCACTAGCAAGCCACGTTCTTTCAGCACTTCTTTGGCATAACACAGTGCATTCACGGAACCTAGGATTACACGGCTATGCAGACGAAGTTGTTTGCGCCGCATAATTTAACTAATTTGAAGAAAAACGAAAAACAAAAAATGTTTCATTTAGAATTACACTAAAGACCCAAACAGCTCATCAGTGCCCTCAAAGAAACATGTAGGCCTATGTGTTATGCCAAAGAAGTGCTGAAAGAACGTGGCTTGCTAGTGGAAAAATAAAGTGCTGTCCATTTTTTCAGCCCATCACACATTTATCCCAACGTTGTATTTTAACTCAGTTTTTCTTAAAATTGGCTAAACTACGAGAAGCAAAAGCCCTCGTCTGTATATCTGTATAGGCTAGCTTCCTGGCCTGCTCTCTGGTCTGGTCTCTCCTTAAAGGGGCCACGCTGACCAGCATCTCCAGTGGCTAATAGACGTACTATTAAAAAGTACCTTACACAACCCCGCTTCAAAAATACTGAACTATCCCTTTAATAAAAGCTAGACATCAAAATTAAGAGCTTTTTGTCAAAAAAAAATCACAGTAATAACGTTATGATCATGTATTGCAAACGTGCAGCATTTCTAGGTTTAGATAAATATGGGTAATCCATTTCCAGTTTAATTGAAAATTTGAGATATATAGTCATAAGGCTGAGCTGTGTTATATCAGATACCAGCTCTTTGAAACCCGGCCTCTGTCACTTCTCTCAGGTGAAGGTTATTCAGCCCAAAATACAGCTTTAGTTCTCCAACTCGTCCCTTCCTGCTGTGACCTACAGCAGTCATCGCTCCACGCTGTCTTGTCTCTCCTCTGCCTCACATAGGGCAAGTTGACCTTCAGTTAGTCGAGACAGTGAAATGATTTCTCTCATCTTTTGTGAGCTGCCTCAAATCTCCTCGTTCTCTACAAATAACAGCACTTTCACCAGATCTTCCCTTTTTATCTAGCTCCCAATCAACGTACACTTATCAGTGTGTCATAGTTTATAGTTTATAACTTGCAACTGTTGTGTTAAAAAAATCCAAATGTATTTTTACAGTTAAAAGCACCATGTGTCATTTCCAGGGAAAATTGGGGATAATAGTGATATGGATGGGCATTTAATTAGCTTGCTTTCAACATCCTGTTGCCTGTTTTAGCACTGTGAGAGTAGCACCGTAAGCATTGGCTTCTTCATCTATACATCTTTGCTCTGTATAGTTATCCTTATAAACGGGTCTTGTTGGCTAAAACAATGGAAAAGTAGGACACTGCTGCGTCTTTGAATGTCTCATTTCACTCCTGCACGGATCAGCCAAACTAATATCCACCTCGTAACATCAAACATTTCACTTTTGAACCGTTCCTTTAACTGTTTCCATTTCGATTTTGCTCCGTAACAAGTCTCTTTTTTGTAAAAAAAAGAAAAAAAGAAAACATGTTAGAAGTAAAGTGCTCTCTGATAAGACATAGAGAAATTCAAACTAAGAGTCAAACAATTTTTTATTTTCAAATGCGAAATAATGGCATTTCAAACATGCAACTAAAAATGTTCTAAATTGTAATTAACTATTCTAATTCAGTGATTAATCACAATTAGGATTTAATCGAATCCAATAGTTTGACAGTCCCAATTAAAATCACTTCTATTAAGGCCTACATGTAAACTTCTCTATTTTAAACTTCCAGGGAACTGATGAAATGGATTAAAATGGTAAAACATTCAGAACATGAAGTTGCACTTTATTGGAGGAGTTATAGTAGTACTCACCTCAGAGAGCTGGGCCCTGTAAAGAGATTTGTTGCACTGGAGAAGCTGAGCAGCAAGGTTGCAGTCTTTTCTGTACACGTCCTGTCGAGCCACAGGAACACCACCAACAGAAGACGATACAAAACAATAAGGGATGATTATTCACCTTTTCTGGTGATTTTAGAATCTTAATGAGAACACAAGTCAAGCCAAGTCCAGTTTAACCCTATTACCTAATATGACATACATGTTAAAAAATAACAAATACAACATATATAGGCAGAAGAAAAGCAACATAAAATGTTTGGATTTGATAAGCTTTGGATAAAAAACATGTACCAAAAAACAACAAGTCAAAGTCCATGCATGTGAAAACCTGAGTTATTTGTGAAATCAAAGTTCTTTGACTGACTTATTTCTTGTAATTTTGATTAAATACATCTTTACATTAAAAGATAAAAGCGATAATATAAGGGCCTCAACAGGGTTTGCATAGAAAGGGGGACAAAAGACAAACAGCAAGAAGACCTCAATGTGCAATGGCATTTAAAGTCAGTAAAGACAAGTTTAATTGGACCAATATAATCTCTCTTCTTGGATCCAAACTGAAGTCTGGCCACAGCATTTTGGATTCTTTGCATGCTGGAGAGGGACGAGTTCTGTAGCTGATCCCAGAAAACAGGGAATTAGACATTAATATAGAGCCAGCAGGCGATGAAAGCATGGTAACTAAGCCGATTGTTTCTTTTTTGTTGAACACAGAAATACCCTTTCACACACAATAAAGCTAATAAGGGGCTAATGTGAATTATTCGATTCTCCTGAGCTGAAAATAAAAAGGAGATGAATGAAGAGTCTGAAGAGTCGATGCAGTGTGATGGGCTCTTACATTGTCTTCTTGGAGCTTCTCAATGGTGAGCTTGGCCTCCATCAGGTGGTTGTTGAGGACGATGATCTCTCTGCTCAGAGCTCGCTTCTCGTCGTCATGATGCTGAGACTGAAAATAAAGAGAGCCAATGAACAAATGAGCACCCTACAAAAATCTCACTGGTGTGATGTGAGGCCTTTAAGGGAAGCGTCTAAAAGTTTTTAATGTCGCCCACACATAACACTAAAGATACACTCAGCAACAACACTTTGATGGTGTCGAAGGAGCATCAAGAGACATTGTAGTCACGTTTTTTTTGCCTATCAACTTTTACCAATCAAGAACATTATACCCATTTCTTGTCTTTTGACTAGTCAAAGTGCTTTTACACTACACAGTGTCACACCTACGCATTCACACACTGATGGAAGTGGTTGCTAGTGAGACCATCAGAAGTAACAAATCCCATTCATTCACATTCATTTGTCGCTAATGAAGCAATGGGGATTGAACCCTTGACATTCTGGTTGAGAGACGACGACTCTACTAACTAAGCCACAGCCGCCCCAATTCTGTCTGATACCATACTAATACTTACACTTATACCTATATTGATTCAGATATTGATACTGATACTGAAATAGATATGTATGTCAATAGCAAAACCAATACTAATACCTTGACTTTTGGTGATTGCCAATACGACATGGTGATCGGATTCCACCATTGTTTAATGAGCTGTGTGCCTCACTTAGTGAAGACAATGGGATGATTTGTTGGTGTTTGTCAAGATCAGGTTTGTACTAATCACTGCTTTCATTACTCTGTAAAAACTTGTAATGCGTAGATACTTGTTTACAGATTGAAATAATTACTTTTTATTATGATTAAAATATGTAGGGGACTGCTCAGTGGTGCAGTGGTAAGCCCTGTTGCCCTGGCCCTCACTGTGTGGAGTTGGCATGTTCTCCCCTGTGCATGTGTGGATTCTCTCCGGGTACTCTGGCTTCCTCCCACAATCCAAAGACATGCTCGTTAGGTCGATTGGAGACTCAAAAATTGCCCTCTAGATGTGAATGTGAGTGTGGTCATACTGGATATGTCAGCCCTGTGATTGGCTGGCGAACAGTCCAGTGTGTACCCTGCCTCTCTCCCCAACTGGGAATCGGCTCCATCATCACCACCGCCTCCCTGACCCCGGGAAAAGCGGTGTAGATAATGGATGGATGGATGGATGGAAAATATATAGCTTCAAGATGGAAAATAAAAGCTTTAACATTATTAGCAAAAACAACACATTGTGTTCTTTGGCATAATGTTTCTGGAGGTGCTCGATTAAGTTGTAGGGATTAGCGCCAACTCTTCATACTTTGTCTTTGAAGACCATGCAATGATCCATACAGCATGTTGATGTAGCTGGTATGAATTCATCCAACTAGAAACACACGGTGTCTGGCTCTTACGTCTTATCATATGAGACAAAGTTTAAGTGCCTTCTAAATGTTTAAGAGGAATTAGTTGATCCTGTACAGTGGACTTAAAGTATCCCACAATGCAATAGTAGAAGTCGTGTACAGAAGATGGTCACTAACCAAGCACTCTATGCCATCATGGATCATGGAAAGCAAATGATAGGAATGACGTGATTAACGATGCAGAGAAAATTAGCCAAAAGTGTCCAAAAGTGATTTTTCATTTTCCCAGTGGGCTCATTAGTCCTCCACTTATAATTGACTATTATATAAGTAGGAAGTAATGAATGCTTGACAGATTTCGAACAGCTCCTTCAGTCCCCAGCGGACTGATGTCCCATCTCAGAATGGGATCAATAAATCCCTTCTTGAGAGTCCAAGTTTGTATATAAAAGGCAAATTTAAAAGAGAATTTAGCATTTATGTAAAGTTTTGATACAATTCTATCTGCATATGTTCTGTCCATGGATGGCTCAAAATAATAGGTAGATTTTTTTGTTAAAGTTAAGGCACCTGCATCAAGTAGCTCTGTCCTTGTGCTGTTGTGAGAGTACAGAAGTTTTCCCTTTCCCCTCAGGCTCTCCACTGTACTGTAGCTGGGCGAGCAGAAGCACAATCAAAGCACATCACTATGTTTATCTGTCTTGTAATTACGTTCTCTATCGCTGTGCAAGGCCATGGGGTCAGATGAGTTTGTGGCACCTCTGGAGTAAACAAGCTTTTACGATCTGCAGAGAGACTTACTCAGCACCTCTCTCAGCCTGGAGGAGGGACGACGTGAGAGGAATCAATAAGAGCTGATGAGGATGCTTCAGTAGACACAAAAAATCCCCCAAAAAACAAACTGATGGCTTTTATTTTGGAAAAATTATTTTAAAAAAAACAAATTTTACCCCACAACAAAAGGCTGTGTGACCTTAAACTCCTTATCAGCACAGTAACTCTTCACTCTGGTATTGTAATCACGACAATGATTATTATCTCGTCTCGTAACAAAACCATTCAGCGAGCACTTTTCAGCTGTCCATTAAACAGAAACGACACCTGATTGTCATACAGTGTTCTCAGGAGGGCCAGTTAATTGTATACTTTCTCGCTGCATAAGCAATGTCTGACAAATGAAGTGAGGTACGGCACACTGAGGAACAATAGGTTTGCTATCACTCCGCCATTGGAAGGAGGACAGCAAATAGTAATAAGCCATAATTAATGTCAGTGGTAACAACTGCGGGGCAGTTTCATATTCAAATTGGCTCTCCCAGTGTTTTGTACGAAGTCTGAACCCGGCGACTCTTGCCTCGTTTTTCTTTTGTGTCTACAGGTACTTAACCACAAGCATGGGAATCCATGGGAGGAATACACAGACAAACACACATACTGCTGCTCAGCACTTACATCTCTGTGGATCTTCTCCTCAAGGTCCTGGTTGATCCTCTGCAGCGCTGAGTAGCTGCTTTGTATTCTAAACAACACAATAAAAACAGTTGCTCACTTGCAGATAACAGATATATGTACACACCTTACAGTAGCACACAGGGATTGCCTCCAAACTAAAAAATATGGCACTCGGCTCAAATGCTCAGCAGTGTGCAGAGTCAGAGCGGCGTCACATGCCACAGTTTCAGTTTATAGAACCTATATCAGTAGATGTAACTCTACATATGTGATGATTCAGTGAAAGTTTTCTTCTGTTATTTTTGACACAGAAGACAGAAATGTATCTTGAAAAGGCAACATATGAGCAACAGAACCGGATAAAATCACTGAATTGCTCACTCCTGAACAACCTGGGGGTCCTGAGACTAATTCAAAAGATGATCACAGGAAGAAAAGAAGCTTTGCCGCACAAAATGATGATTACTTTTTCTTACTTCCCTCTGCATCATGAGTGTGTATTTCTGTGTGTTGCATTTCGTTAATCAAGCACCATGAGGATAAAAAAAAATCCCCTGGCCCTTATAAGCAGCAAGAGAAGAATACCATACAGACCATTATATCCAGGATTTAAGGGTCTCTTTCCAGAACCTCTGCAGTAAATTACATCCCCACTCAATTTTAAAGAAGCTGTTCACTGGACCGGAACCAGACGATGGGCTAACTTCAGATACCCAGGAGTAAAAAACTGAATTTTTAAAGTTCAGTGCAGCACTTCATAGCACATAAAAGGAGTGAAAACAAAAGCAGAACGTCTCATCCAAGTGGATCAGTTTGAAATGCTTAGATATGATTGGCTGTTTGTGCAAATTTGTATCTAACTGTCCAGAACTGTTTTTCTGATGTTTGTGTTATATGACACGATTGCAGAAGTTCATATTATTTTTAATTTTTTGCCAAAGGTCATGTTAGCCAGCTAGTTTTCACATTGGCTAGGAATTGGTTGAATGCTAATGATGGTTAAGTTGACGTAGCTGTCGGTGCCTAATAAATTGTAAAATCCCTTTGGATTTTTCCTTTACATTGTGTTTTCAGTTGGTGATCATTTTAGAAAAAAATGTAACTAAAAATGATCTGTCCACTTCCTTACAAAGACACTTTGCAAACCTTGATTACAGCATTACAACATTATGAGATGGTTTGAGCTTCCCAATAGGAGTGTGACGTTAGAGGAAGATGACTGCCATGTGAATATGGTGCAATTGGGTAAGGGCTGGTAAGTGTTCCCTAAAAGTTGGGGCTTTACTTGTAATAGGGTATTGCAGAATTAGCACCTGTTCCAAACCTGTTCGCGGGCAAGTATGTCTGCCTACCTGCGCAGTTTGTCAGTGAACTTGTCCAGCTCCTCCTGTGCTCGGCGCAGCTCCGTTTCCAGGTACTGCCGCGTGGAGTCAAACTCGCTCTGCAGTAGCTCCAGCTTGTGTGTCGTGAAGGAAAGCCTTTTTCGTAAGTCCTCCTTCTGCTCCAGCAGAGAGCTGCACACACACACACACACACACACACACACACACACACACACACACACACACACACACACACACACACACACACACACACACACACACACACACACACAGAGCAGATGATTGTGTTTAGGGCATATGGAGGAGCTTGTAACTCCGGTATATGCGTTTCTAAATGGACTTGTAAGAGGCTACATATCTTTTTTAATGCACCCCTGAACGGCCATGCAGCGTCGATGAGAACATCATGAGAGGGTGATAAAAGCTGAAAAGTTGCAAGAAAAAGTGCTTTGTATGAAGACAACATGGGACCAAAACACGGATCTCTAATTAAGAAAATCCAGTCAGGGTTGAGCAAGGAGCTTCTTCAGTCATTACATTTATGAGCATCAGTTCTCTATCTCTGCATTTAGGCTCTGCAGCACATCACAGAAACCCAATCAGCAGTGAGATTGGGGGAAAAAAAAGAGACAGAGAGGATGTTCTCTCTGTGATGAAATATGAGCCAATGAACTCTAATACATCACATGAATAGACTGTGAAGGCTCAGATTTACTGAGCAGTGATACCCCCATGTGTAATTCAGTGAGACAGCACAATGATGACTATTTTCAGAGCATGTGCATTACCTGGGCTCCAATCTAATAAAAGGGCAAGTGTGAGTGGGAAAAAGAGGAAATGTCTGTTGCCGTGATGGATCTGAATGTGCACGGCTGGGCTTAATGGACCCTGTATTGACGGACAGATGGAGGAAGGAGTGTAATGACTCTATCTGCAGCCTGGATAACAGAAAGCAAGATAGAGCGTGGATGGAGATGTGGTCACGTCGCTCTTTTCACTTCCTCTCTTTGTCTCTCTTTTAACAAGATCAAAGATGAGAGAGAGGCTGATTAATATTTTTTCAGGGACAGGTTCCTTTCAAAGCGTCAGGTCACTAAGTGGAGGTAGCATCCAGTTTCCTGCTCATTAGTACGGGCTTAATGTTTGTGTAATCAGTGGGATGAAAAGCACACTGGGTCAGTCCAGACTGCATTCAAAAATACAGCTATGACTAAATCTTAACAGTTGTACGTGACTATTCTGACATTTAGGCAAACGTATTGCCTCTTAAACCCCTTCAAGTCTATCGTTTGTTTGAGAAAGTCACACAAGTAATAGAAACATCGCACAAAAAGTAAGCAAATGTGTGTTTGGTAGATTATGTCTTTGTTGTAACAATGCATCTTGGCAATAAATGATTTTTAATTAATAAGTTTGGCATTGGCAGAGAACATTTGGCAAGTTTTTCACGGGCACAACCCACATATTCAGCTCTGCTGCTCATCCCACATATGCATGTTCCTTACAAAAGTGGCACAGTTTTAAAAGGGAGATAAAGAGGCTTTCCAACGGTATAAGATTTATTGCCAAGAAGCATTGTTACTACAAAGAAATAATCCACCAAACACACATTTCCTTACTTTTTGTGCGCTGTTTAGATTACCGATTTGATTGAATGCTCAACCTACAACACCCAAAGGTTTTTTCATGTGTATTAAGGACAATCTATCGTCTTTCTTTACTTTTTATTTTTCCACAAACAGTCTTTTAAGGGAATCATTTCTTTGGTGGAGATGCAGCAACTATGTGGTAGAGAAATATAAATGCATTGGCTCTAGAAGCAGAAATGTTACTATTGATAAGTAAGAGTTGAAGACAATCTTTGTGGCTACAAAGTGAAATATCTCAACAACAAATTATTCTTTTGTGTTAAAAAGATTTTACAAATTACTCAAAGTAGAGATGTAGCTGATTTGGGGCATTTAATATTTCTTAGTTGAAGTGAGCAGAGATAAAAACTGTGAGGCTTCAGTGTATCTTAATGGTGATTGCCTGTTTAATCCATTTGGAGATTAAATTCTAGGTGCAGCATTTGAAGATTTTTTAAAGGTAGATGTAAAAATGTTGCTGAAAGAAAACCTTTAAAGATCTCCTAACTCTGTTTTATTGAGATGATTTTGAGCTGGAGCAAAGCAACATTGGGCCTCTGCAGCATTTTCTGTTTTTTATTTCTTCTTTTTTTTGTCTGTTAAGTGTTTCTGCCTCTAGCCAGACAGAAAGCCATACATTTCTCTCTGTGATAAGGAGTGATTTGCAGTGATTTTCTAAAGATCTCAACTTATTGTTTTCTCGTTATTTTGGGATATTAGAGGACTTATGCCCATTAAAACAGTTTTATTTATGTCATCTTGAAATAATAATGAGGTCATTTAAGTCTATTTCTATGTTTGTTTTGTGCTTTTGAAGTTTTGGAAATCAGATGAATAAGTAAATCAAGTTCACCAGAAAACAATTGGACATCACTGGTTATCAAATGAAGTATAGAAGCATGTCCACTTAAGGATTCTGTACCTCCTGAAAAAAGTTTGTATAATTGAAACTCAAGCCTCCACTAAAGCGTCACTAAATTAATTAAACCCTTATCGGCTAAATGTTAAAGAAATGTAGGGTTTTTCTTACTATGGTTCAAATGATAAAAGATTGTTTAACACTGGATGAGGAACGTTGTTTATATTTCTTCTGCTGCACCTCCAACAGAGTCTGTGAGCAAAAACAGTGCCGGGCCTCACAGAGTGATTCAATGAACGTTTCAGCTGACTGTTCCAACAGTTCAGCGCCCCCACCTCCTTCTTCTCTTTGATTGGCGGGGCATTCGCAGGGGAGTACAGGTGTTTGTTGTTTGATATAGGATGAGTTTACGTGAAGTAGCTCCAGGGAGGAAAAAAATCTCCCATTAGTGACCTCCTCTGTGAACAGGAGCTGAGTCAGACGTAATGAGTGCTTTCACTGCGGTGAGATGAGATGACGAGGCAGCATGACTCCTGGCGCTCGGAGAGGCGAGATGAGGCAGCTTTAGCACCGCCGGGCGACGAGAGGACACAACTCGTGGGCGGATGAGCGGACAAACAGACAAAATAAAAATAATAAACCAGGACGAATGGAAAGATGGCGTCTAGAGAGATTCACTCTTACCTCTTTTTTGGATGTTTGCCGCCATTTCGGGGGACTTTTAAGGCGGTTTTGCCAATGTATATCTTTTTCATGGTTTGTCTGTGTTCCTTCCCTCTCATGTGTTTAAAGGGGGTTGACCACAGGGAGCCGTCGTGTATGTTAGATCCCCAAAGGAGACCGGCTAAGTCTGGCCTGCAGATTTTCTGAGTGCTCTACATGTGTTGACCCTGCCAAACAAAACAAACACACAGGTTGGCAACTATTAGCAACTATGCTACATCCAGAGACCATGCTTCAGGCACAGATTCAATTTATTCTGCAGTGATTGTCATTTATGAAAAATATTCCCCCCCCCCCCAACAGTTCGGTCCTTGGCAGGAGGAGGAAAGCTGAAACAGCATAAAAAGACGCTGCACTAAATTCAGATAACACAACTTTCAAGGTTAGCAGATCTTGAAATGTTAAAAAAACTCCCCCCTTGGTGATTTAGCTTCAGGGCTAATTTGAGCTATCTTTTGTTGTACTTTTCCCTCACAATGTCACACTGTGTTGTTTCCGGCAAAGATACAGTGGAAGTGGAAATGAAAGTATCTCAGACATCAGAGGTAAATGTCAAGTTTTGGTCTTAACGCTTCAGACTTAAAAAAAAAGCAAAGGGTGTTTTTTTTATGTTCTGCAGCAAAGTTCAACAAAGAAATGTAGACAAATCTATAGAGGAGAGGCAGGTTATATTCCACAGCTTCAACCTTTGTGGGGGTTACGTTTATCGAATGACAAATGGCATCCTTACCCACACATAATGTGTTTTCTTAAGATTTGGGTTTCACATGTCATGGATTCAGCGTTTTTGGGGGATGCTGGTTCTTAATCAGATTTTCTCTTAACAATATAAATAAAATGATGAATCATGTATTTCCTCCTCTATGGCAGGAAGCTGGTTATCTCTGGGTTATCGACAGCACAAGACACTTAAGGACGTCATCCGAAGCTTGGGCATCATTTTAACAGATGTAACAACTTACCAATTAAATGTGAAAATAATCGTTTGATCGATCAGGAACGCAGACAATCTGTTACAAGTTGCAGCCACACATGATCGCATCAACGCTAAAAGTTCAGAAAGCACCGCTCTGATTGAATTGAGTGGTCGAAACTATCATCAAATGTTACATCGTGTACCCCCCCCCCCCCCCCCAACAAAGTAAAAGAACACAGAGAGAGAGTGAAAGAAGTAAAAACAGAAATCTCTCACATGAGATGACTGAAGATGTTCTAAATTTAGCAGAAACTTTTGCTTTAAAGTGGTATCCCATCTCTCAGTTCTGAGTAAAAAAACATGTTTTCAGGGCCTTTTAGAGAAACGCGAGGGTTGTTACTCAGCTTGTTTTTTTTTTTACCATGTCTTGTCTGTGTTTTTAGCATTTTCACTTGGAATCTAATACAGGCTTTGGAGACTGCTTTGGTCTCTCTCTTTTTTTTGAAGAATAAAATGTTTTTCTAGGTTTATTGTCTGCGTTTGGGTTCTTGTTGGACACGAGCCTGCTTCATATAACCGCTGCTTGATGACAGGCCTTTTCTGACAGGCAAATATCACACTTATCAGTAGAACAAACATCGCTGTCACGCTTTCTGCAGCGCAAACGTCTTCATCTCCCCGCGTGTCCAAACACAAACGACATGAACTGACACATCTGACGAGCTTGAATGGAAATATTCTGTCAGGGCCAATAGACGGAGGCTTTCTTTTCCAAACATTTCCGCCCCCCCCCCCAATCCTACGTGTCTCGCCGGCGTCCGTAGCACAGGTGCGGCTGTCAACCCTCAGACAAATGGCGCGGGTTATTAGATGAGACGGCCCGTCAACGCTTGATCAAAGCGGCTCTGATCTGAGCACTGGACCGTCCATCCGCACAGGAAACAGTGACACAGTGAGTGTGACTGCAGCAGAGAGGATACAGCCGAGGATAGCATCACCTTTAGGGTGTTGTATCTTTGGATACTGTTCAAACTAGAGATGTTCCTCCATGGATGTGATATCTTTTGTTTTTCCTGGTTTGGATCAAAGGTGCTGGATCTTTTGTTTGAATGTAGCTTGACAGTCATTTATAGCTGAGGTAGCACTTCAATTAAAATGTACCCATTTCTTTGCTGCGTACTTGTAGACTACCTATGTTTTGGAGCAGCAGAGAAGAGCTTCCAGTGAAACAAGATCATTTTAGTCAGGGCAAAATTGCTATAATCGGATTGTTGCAACAGACTGGTGTACTTGCTAAGACCCACGCCTTAAATTTTAAATGGCAGCCGAGGCTTTTTCCAACACCGGCATCAATATTGTCACAACTCTTAGTACAAAAAAAACAAACAAAAAAAAAAACAGGTGACGTTGAGAAACATGTTGATTCTCTAAGTTATTGGGGGGTGATTTGTGCTGCAGGATGAGGGAGGCAGGCAGACATGCACTCCTCCAGATGGTGACAGCTCAACACCGCCACTGGAGCCTTCATTCCAGCTGCTCCCCTCTGAGTCATCGCACACCGGCTCTGGATGTTTATGTGTGTGGAGTGTGTGTGTGTGTGTGTGTGTGTGTGTGTGTGTGTGTGTGTGTGTGAGAGAGAGATTTGGTGGGAGTGAGCACGTCTTTTGTGAGCCCTTTTTTGTGTACAGGTAGAAATTTTTATTTCATATAGGATAATGAAAACTTGTTTGCCTGTTCGCATTCCTGAGTGTGCATCATTTTAAAGATGCACATAATTATGTTTTTCAGTGTGACCCTGCAGGTATTTTTTGTTTGCAAGTGTGCGTGTTTGTGTGCTGCGGCATCAGCTCTGCCTATTAAATCTCCGTCCTAACAGTCTCTTGTCTTTCTACCTGAAAAGTCAATAAAGGACAGCAGCTGTTAAGGACACATCCCGGTCCACGTCAGGTGTCCTCTGTCAAACCGCCAGCTCACAACCCACTCCAACTCCCCCGCTCACTCATTCACTCACTCGCTCACTCTCTTTCTTCTACTTCTTCCTTTAGCCGATCCTCACACTGCAGCAAAAAAAAAACACAGCCAAGGCTCGTTCAGATGGCGCTCACTGCCACCCACTCTTGCCACGCTGACATTTTAGAGGAAATCAGAGCATTGAAAAGGAGAGGAAGGGGAGGTGGTAGAGGATATTGAAGTTGGGGGATTTGGAAAGAGTGAAAAGCAGGAAATGCTTTTTGGGGTGGGAGTGGGGGGGGGTATTTAGAGTAGTTGCAGTTTAGCCAAAGACAGAAAAGAGGGAGAAGCCATCACCAAATTGAGGAGGAAAACAAAAAGAGTGGGTGTGAATTTTTCCACTGGAAATCATAATTTCTCCTTCCTCTTCTCTTACCATCTTGTTAAGTTCTCTGTCTTCCTTATCTCAACTACCTTGCAGATAGATTGGCTCTCAGGAAAAGCCCTTATCACAAACCCAGACCTCGGCATTAAAGAGAAAGGGAACCTGAGCGTCTGACTCATCCAGCAGCAGCAGAGAAAGGAGGCATAGAAGTCGCTCTCTCTCGGCCCTGTATATGCCTTCAGATTAACAAGGCAGCTAACCTGCAGCAGTCACTCAGTCTGATGACACGTACAGTATGACTCAGCCTCCTCATAGAGAGAAAAAAAACCCTCTCAAATAAGGGTGCTATGGTTGTATGTGGGCTTATGTCTCTGTCCAGGATTGATTAACTCAGGAGCAGACACCGCAGTAGTTACACACCAACGACCAACATCATTAGCAGCAGCAGCAGGGGATAATGACCCGCCGAACACATTTCATGTGCTGCTGATGGCACTCGGGCACAGGGGAGTGTGTAATCACTACAAGCATCCTGAGAGGATTATTAGGATGAGCTGAAGAGGTGATGGAGGCAGAGCTCCAAAAAAAAAGAACAAAAATATACAAAGTTCTGTTTAGCTGAAAATCCCCTGAAAAAAAAACCCCAGAAAAAACCCCAGAAGAAGTTGTAAAAGATATTTAAAGTAAAAAGGTCGCTGTAGCTATCATCTAAGTTTATTTGTCGCACTGTGCATTCACTACCAGCGTCTGCTAGCTGCTAGCCAACGAAACAGATGAGCAGCTTCAATAACACAAGCCTGTTTTAGCTAGCGCTGTGTCAGAGATAATGTCACCAAGGTCTGAACCTTCTGTCACAGGTAGCTACAGCTAACGTAGCTTATTGTCTTTCTTACTGAGAGTTACACCAGAGACTAAAACAATATCAGTAGCAAGCGGAAGCTGTTAGCTTAGCTTACCATGAACACTAGAAACAGGAAAACAGTGATCTAAGCCTGTTAAAAGTTGATAATATTCTTTTTTTGTTTGTTTAAAGAAGGTAATGTGTTGTTTCTTGGCAAGGAAAGGTTGATTTTCTAACATTATCCACTTTCAGAGGTGTTGATATGAGACTATTCTTAATAGGCAGAGATATTTCACACCTTTTTGCTAAACCGAACTAACCCCAACAAGCTGCTAGACGTAGCGCTTTGAGAGGATTATCATTTTTAGTCATCAATCACTCGGCAATAAATGACCTGTACTTTTCACTAGCCCTCTGAAAAAGCACTGAAATTGTGAAGTAACATTGAAATACTTCCAAAGGAGTAAAGCCGTTTTTCTGCGTGAAAATTAAGAAAATTCTATTCTTAAAAGCTTTTGAGAGCATCAAATATTCAGGGTGATATAAAGTGTTGGTGTTCTACATAAATACAAAATAATTTAGAAAAAAGGTGTCATCACCACTTCTTTCGCACAAGCGAATCTGATAAATGATTCACGGTCCAATAAATACAAGTTTGGAAAACAGTCAAAGCAAAAAAAAAAAAAAAAAAAAAAAAAAAAACACCCCCAGGCATTAACACTGCTGACCAACACGCAAACACATGTACAAACACACACCAGATAAACACATGAAGACAAGTACATTCTGTCCTACAAAAAAAAACCAGCATCAGCCTCCAGAAAAGAAAATCATGTCACAGTGCCAGTGAAGCCTTCAGAGAGCTGTCCCAGCAAAGCCACAGAGATCTTCTTCCAACCTAGAATTTGAAAACTAAGCAGTGAATATTCAGCTGAAACCTCACACTCAATCTGAGACTCAAACACTGAAGTTTTGTGAAGACAACTGTGTTCAAAATATCAGATTTAGAATGGATATAGCTTTGGAACATCGCCATCGATGTAGAAGTACAGAAATGTTTTTGTTGTTTTTATCG